TTAGCAATTTGGTTTCCGGAGCATAACTTAAGTTCCATTTGGCCCACAACATTCAAACTTCATAGGATGATTGTCCATATTGGGTAGAAGACCCCTATTGATTTTGGGGTCACAAGGTCAAAGGTCAGTATTACTTTTAAACTGAAAACAGTTTCAGGAGCATAACTTAAGTTCCATGTGGCCCACAGTATTCAAACTTCATAGGATGATTGTCCATATTGGGTAGAAGACCCCTATTGATTTTGGGGTCACAAGGTCAAAGTCACTATGACCTCAAAATTGAAAACAGTTTCCGGAGCATAACTTAAGTTCCATTTGGCTGACAGTGTTGAAACTTCATAGGATGATTGTCCATATTGGGTAGAAGAACCCTATTGATTTTGGGGTCACAAGGTCAAAGGTCAAGGTCATTATTACTTTTAAACTGAAAACAGTTTCTGGAGCATATCTTAAGTTCCATGTTGCCAACAGTATTTAAACTTCACAGGATGATTGTCCATATTGGGTAGAAGACCCCTATTGATTTTGGGGTCATACGGTCAAAGGTCACTATGACCTAAAACTGAAAACAGTTTCCGGAGCATAACTTAAGTTCCATTTAGCCGACAGTGTTCAAACTTCATAGGATGATTGTCCACATTAGGTAGAAGACCCCTATTGATTTTGGGGTCACAAGGTCAAAGGTCAAGGTCATTATTACATTTAAACTGAAAACAGTTTCTGGAGCATAACTTAAGTTCCATGTGGCCCACAGTATTCAAACTTCACAGGATGATTGTCCATATTGGGTAAAAGACCCCTATTGATTTTGGGGTCACAAGGTCAAAGGTCAAGGTCACTATGACCTTAAAACTGAAAACAGTTTCCGGAGCATAACTTAAGTTCCATTTAGCAGACAGTGTTCAAACTTCATAGGATGATTGTCCACATTGGGTAGAAGACCCCTATTTATTTTGGGGTCACAAGGTCAAGGTCACTATGACCTTAAAACTGAAAACAGTTTCTGGAGCATAACTTAAGTTCCATTTAGCCGACAGTGTTCAAACTTCATAGGATAATTGTCCACATTGGGTAGAAGACCCCTATTGATTTTGGGGTCAGAAGGTCAGTCATTATTACTTTAAAAATGAAAACAGTTTCTGGAGCATAACTTAAGTTCCATGTGGCCCACAGTATTCAAACTTCACAGGATGATTGTCCATATTGGGTAGAAGACCCCTATTTATTTTGGGTCACAAGGTCAAATGTAAGTTCACTATTACCTTAAAACTGAAAACAGTTTCCGGAATGTAACTTAAGTTCCATTAGGCCCACAGTGTTAAAACTTCATAGGATGATTGTCCATATTGGGTAGGAGACCCTTATTGATTTTGGGGTCACAAGGTCAAAGGTTAAGTTCACTATTACCTTAAAACTGATTCAGTTTTAAGGTAATAGTGAACTTAACCTTTGACCTTGTGACCCCAAAATAAATAGGGGTCTTCTACCCAATATGGACAATCATCCTGTGAAGTTTGAATACTGTGGGCCACATGGAACTTAAGTTATGCTCCAGAAACTGTTTTCATTTTTAAAGTAATAATGACTGACCTTCTGACCCCAAAAGTTTAACTGAAAACAGTTTCCGGAACGTAACTTTAGGTCCATGTGGCCCACAGTATTTAACATTCACAGGATGATTGTCTATATTGGGTAGAAGACCCCTGTTGATTTTGGGGTCACAAGGTCAAATGTTAAGTTCACTATTACCTTAAAACTGAAAACAGTTTCCAGAACATAACTTAATTTCTATTTGGCCCATAGTGTTGAAACGTCATAGGATGATTGTCAATATTAGGTAGAACACCCCTATTGATTTTGGTGCCATACGGTCAAAGTTCAAGGTAGCTATTACCTCAAAACTAATAACAGTTTCCAGAGCATAACTGAAGTTCCATTTGGCCCACAATATTCAAACTTTAAAAGAGGATTGCTATTTGAATAAGGTAATACTTTATTTAATTTATGTAATGTCTTACAAATGCTTCATCCTTAGTAAAGAAAAAAAAACACTTTCGGGCATATAATGCTCCGCCTAGCGGTGCTCTTGTTAAAAATTGTAACATCATCAAAGGATGTGATCTGTGAAGCTATAAATACAAACCATGTTACAAGTTGACATAAACTTATTCTGTATTTTCAGTCAAGGTCAATAGGTGGAGCAGATGAAGAAGCTGTTGTAAAATACACTAAATGGAAGGTCCCTGTTTCCTGGAAACTATTTTATGGATCAAAGTTTGACCAGAGTTTATTTCACTGATGATGACTGTATATGGCAACTGTTACTTCACTTTGATCAGTTCACCTGAGAAGATTGGGACCGATTGTTTTCAGTCCAGAAACATCTCTGATTTTGACATCGTTACCACCTTTATAAGGGATGCCCTTTCAGTGATGGGAATTCTTTGTCTAGATTTTCTGCAGGGAGATCAACAAACTCATCAACTGATCTTTGTAGCTAAAGGGCGTACTTTTGGAAATGTGCAGTCAAAAGACTAACGGCTTACTTTCAGAATATATTGGCATTAAGTCACAATAAACAAGGATAAAATCAGTGTACAGAAAGAGAATGGAAAGTTTTTCAGTAATGTGTAACAAATGGGACAACACAACCTAAATCTCTATTTTGAGATAAATTTTATGGAATTTTTTTTTCTTCGTACATTTCACTTCTTTGTCAGTTTGACATATTACGCTGAACATTTATTGGTCCTTTAATGTTAACTTCACTGCAGACCTAAATTAAAAAATCCAGTTTACTCTGTGGGAAAAACCATTTCTTTATGTGTTCACCATTTTTGTGCTCTTTTTTTCACACACTTATTTGATCATGATCTGTATATTGTATTTTATTTGAAGAAATAAAACTGTGATAATTTTTATGTGTGCATACATGTGTATGATTTTGTTTTGCAAGTACACATTTAGTAATTTCCTTGTCGTTTTATCTAGTTGCCATCCAACCCTATGGAAGTGGGCCGTGAGACAAGTGAAGGATGAATTCTGCCAAGGATTTTGAATTATTATGTAAAGCAGTTGTCCAGTTAAACGATCTTTTTCAAAATTTCAACTTAAATACTTATAGAATAGCAAACAGTGCAGACCATTATCAGACATGCAAGCTAAGCTTGGTCTGTACTTCTTGCCTACCCATGCCTGAAATAATGTATGAACTGGCATTCGAGGTTTTCTACCTTCAGTAAAGCTGGAAATAAGCCAAACTTAAATTTTGTTAGACATGATGACACTCCTCAAACACAAAGTTTCATAGAATTTTGACAATTTGTTTTCTTGGTGTCAATTGGCAAGATCAGATTATCATATTTGACTGTCTAATGCCAAAAACAGATTTTCAATTGTAAGTTTGCGCCTTATTGAACAAATTAAAAATATCTGGCAGAAGATTAACATACCAAAAACTTACGTTTTCATTTAGCACTTTTCTGATAGTAGCATATGAATAAATAACTGTTCATAACAGTTAAATATATGATGTTATCACAAGTACACCATTCATAAAAGGCGTGCAGGAATGGCATAATCTTAAACGGGATTTAAAACAGGTTTTTTTAGAAACGGGTGAAAACAATAGCAAATCCTGTCTGATATACAAGAACAGGCCTGAGACCACACAACATGCCGAGGGAGAACTTGCACTAGAAACAAAAAAGTTATCTTTAATAGTACATTTATTATATGATCAAAAATAAAAATTTTGAATACACAATATATCTATTGCTATGTGGCAAACCAATTATGATATTAACAAGAGCTGTCGGTAGGACAGCATGCTCGACTATTCTTAGTGCTTGATAGTAAAAAAAATGCCTGATACAGTTACCTCCTCCTGTTTACAGGTTGGGGTCATGATGGTGAACAAGTGTGCAAAGTTTCAAAGCCATATGTCAATGGACTTTGAAAATATTTGAACTATTACAAAAACTTTAACGTAAATTCTAAGTCGAAAAAGGGGCATAATTCTGTCAAAATGCTTGATAGAGTTACCTCCTCCTGTTTACAGTTGGGGTCATGATGTTGAACAAGCGTGCAAAGTTTCAAAAGCCATATGTCAATGGACTTTGAAAATATTTGAACTATTACAAAAACTTTAACGTAAATTCTAAGTCGAAAAAGGGGCATAATTCTGTCAAAATGCTTAATAGAGTTACCTCCTGCTGGCTACAGGTTGGGGTCATGATGTTGAACAAGTGTGCAAAGTTTCAAAGCCATATGTCTATGGACTTTGAAAATATTTGAACTATTACAAAAACTTTAACGTAAATTCTAAGTCGAAAAAGGGGCATAATTCTGTCAAAATGCTTGATAGAGTTACCTCCTCCTGTCTACAGGTTGGGGTCATGATGGTGAACAAGTGTGCAAAGTTTCAAAGCCATATGTCAATGGACTTTGAAAATATTTGAACTATTACAAAAACTTTAACATAAATTCTAAGTCGAAAAAGGGGCATAATTCTGTCAAAATACTTGATAGAGTTACCTCCTCCTGTTTACAGGTTGGGGTCATGATGGTGAACAAGCGTGCAAAGTTTCAAAGCCATATGTCAATGGACTTTGAAAATATTTGAACTATTACAAAAACTTTAACATAAATTCTAAGTCGAAAAAGGGGCATAATTCTGTCAAAATGCTTGATAGAGTTACCTCCTCCTGTCTACAGGTTGGGGTCATGATGGTGAACAAGTGTGCAAAGTTTCAAAGCCATATGTCAATGGACTTTGAAAATATTTGAACTATTACAAAAACTTTAACATAAGTGGTTACGCCGACGCCGACGCTCGGGTGACTGCAATAGCTCTACTTATTCTTATCGAATAGTCGAGCTAAAAAGAAAGAATTGATGAACATTTACACAAATGAATTAAAAAAACAAAACAAATAAGACAGTAAGAGACTTGAGAAAAAAAAAGATAGAAAAATTAGACAAACATAATAATGGAAAGAAATGATAAATGACATGTTCAAGTCAAGTTTGCGACCAGAAAACATAACCTTACTGTAATACATAGACGCACATGATAATGACTATGAAAGAAAGAAAGAAGGAAAGAAAGAAACTTGAGACCATTACTTGTAGGTTAAAATTACATTAAAATCATTAAAACATCGAAAATAACTGACACTTGTTATCAAACAAACTGGTATCTACAGGACATACTGGTAGTCAGAGGTTACAAAAAAACTGCTGATGAATTTTATCGAAGAATCTGGCAATATATATATATATATAAATAGAAAAGATGGGCAGGTTCAAAAATATGTAAAAATGAACGGCATTTAATTTTTCTAGCAAGTTACCATTCAACTTTATCACTGCACAAAAAAAAGTTCCTTAAAAAAACTCAAGTTTTTACGTACTTCCATTGTAGGTTCACACAATTTCCGATTGAATATAAATAAATACAAGTAAAAACAATTTACCTCACACAACAGAGAGTATTTAAACAATGTTTTACATTAAGTTTGACACTTTTATGATGATGTCACTGGCATGCTAAAGTAGCCGACACCTGCTTAATTACTACTGCTGGTTTTCTGACAAAACTTGGATCAATATATTTATGTGATCTCTGCCACAGCATCTTTTAAACATTTTTTTAACTATTTAAGAACAAAAACAAACAGATGGCAAATTAACTTAAAAGTAATATTTGTTTTCTTCCTACTGAAGTACACTCGCATGATATATGGAGAAAACCATATCTCATAATGTAAAACATCAATAATAAGTAAGAAATATGTCTAAGAAAAAACGAGAAGAGACTTAAGTTTATAACAGACAGAATCACAAGACAATGGAAAATCTGGTATTTAGATACCTTGTAGCTACAACTTAGTGAAGTGCAGCAATACAATGGTTTCATTTTTTTTTATTTTTACACTTTTTTTCTCTCTCACGGAACCAGTTTTAAATTTCGTTTTAATATGAAAAGGATAAAAAATCATTGAATTTCAAAGTTTTAATGTATTTTGTTGTATGCCTAAAGTGAAATTTAATATGAAAAAAACACACAAAAAAACTGATGAACAAAAATGTTTTAACATTACTTCAGATGGAATAAGGTCATTTTTCTCTATTTTAATATCTGGAATAAAACTTTCCCAAATTCATGTTTTTGCATTGATTTGCAGTAAAAATTTAAACTATTTCATCATTCCTTGAATTTTCACTGTTTGTGCTGGAAATAATTCTTCAAATATATATACAAAGACAATATACAGATAAAATGGGTGATTTTATAATAAAAAGCAGTTAATTTTTTACAATTAAAGACAAAAGTATGTATTGGTCTAGATAACATTATGACATGGGCAAAAACATTTATAAAACGGAAAATATAATTACATATAAAAGCAGTATTAAGTCGAACAATTTTTTTTTCATCTAGTATAGAACTATCAAATTGTCATTTTAAATCAAATTTATCAATGATCATTAGATCTTAAAACAATTCATTTATATGAAATACCTAAAAAAAAACTTTCATGTGTGATATTAGGATTGAAAAAGAGAGGAAATACCCCCCCTCCCCCCAAAAAACTATTAAAGTAATTTTTTTAAGTTCTCTATTTGAAAAACTTATCCAATCTACTTCTGACATTTATATGTTGTATGAAACATATTAAACATGGTGTTAAATAAACGAAATACCATAGAAACCATGTTTTAATTTATATGATACAGAATAATGATTAGCTAAAACATTTATTACTCTACGAGTGCCTTTTTTTCTCTTTTGGTCAATCATTGAGTAATGTCAAAAGTATTCTCTAATTTTAATCTACATTTACATATACTTTACTAGCATTTGATAGTGAAATTAAATTGATTGATAAGATTTGAAAAAGCTGTCATTTAAATTTGAAAGATCTTAATTTTTAAAAGAAGTTTTAAGTCCTTTTGTAATCTTGCAGGCCTTGAGCCTGAAGTTTTTCATAAGGTATTATACTGTATTCATCATCATACACAAATTGTAGGTCAAATTGTAACATTTCATAAATTTTCGTGTATTTTATCCTTTTTAAGGTATTACAAATGTTTAAGACAATCCATTCACTCAATTAATGAAAATTAACAATGCTGTTTTACTCCTCTTTTTCTATAAATCTTCTCTTTTTAGCTCTCAAAACTTATAAAAATAAACCAAACAAGTTTTTGTACTTCCATTCAACTAAAACAAATAAATACTATTTTAATTTTTTTTCTAAAAAATATTTTGATCACAATTCATCTTCACTATGACGACATGAAACTTTCAGCATGCATTGCCCTCGTTCGTAATCGAGTGTCTGTCTGAAAATTTGGCGACATAGGTGCAGTCAGCTGTTTTTCACTACGTTTTATCTCCATGCGCCTGTACTGTTTTACTGGGTTAGCTTTGTGTACGGCTTCTTTTCGCATTCTCTCAAATTCTGCTCGTTCTTCAGCCTCTTTCATACGCCGCTCCTGAATTCGTACATTGTCAAGCTCGTCTTGTTTCGCCTTCTTGTGCATCTCGAAGGCTTCCCTTTTCACTGTTCGTTTGGCGGTGTTAAATTCAAACTCGCTGATATCTGCTAAGAATAAATAATATCTCGCAATTAAAACTGTAGAATGAAAAGGAAGCACCTTGCATCGCATATAGCATGTGTCAGATATCATTTAATGTATAGGTAGAATAATATGGATATATTAAAACAATTGTATTTTTCCACAAAATTTGTTTGCTTGCATCAGCAAACCTTTTCAAGTTTGTCTTGTAAGGGAGGACTTCAGATAACACATTGTTCATAATTACAGGCAGGAATGACCCCCTGACAACCAAACCTTTCATAAGTTAATGGTTCTTTGTAAGAAATACTAAACTTCAACAGAGCTATCTATTTTATATTATGACTGACTAAGGAATAGCTACAAGTTAAATGCTCTAAAAACACACTTCAGAATCAAGTTTTAATTGGGTTTTATGTTGCACCAACACAGTACAGGTCATATGGAGACTTTCCTGCTTAACTGGTGGAGGAAGACCACCGGCTTTAATGTAAGCTAGCCAGATAGTTTCTTCACATGAAAGAATCCCAAGTCCCTGCTGGGATTTTGTTTGTTTGATTCAAATTGACTGGGTTTTGACGTCACACCAACACAGTATAGGTCATATAGCAGGTTCCAGCTTAACTGATGGAGGAAGACCTCCGGTGCCCTTCTGTGAATTATTTCAGGCACGAACATGTGAGTAGAACCACCGACGTTCCGTAAGCTAGCTAGATAGCTTCCACACATGAAAGAATGGAAAGTCCCTGTCGGGATTTGAACCCACAGCGGTGAGGGGCAAGTGGTTTGAAGTCAAGAACCTTAACCACTCAGCCATGACGCCCCAATGCTGAGATTTAAACTGATCAGCAGTAGGGGGCAAGTGGTTTGAAGTTAACAACCTTAACCACTCTGCCACAGACTTCCATCAAGAGTTTTGAATGTAATAATTTTCACAACCCCTGCAATGGTTTCAAAATCTTAAAATTATGTTGTGCTTTATCTGCAATGCAATGTTATAATTATTAAATCATGTCATAAAGATAATCAGAATGAACAAACCTGTTGTATATTTGTTCTCTTTATGAGGTACAAATGGGTCGTGTTCCAGTACTGTGGGATTCCTCGCCTTAAATTTTGTCATCTCCTTCTGGTGCTCTAATTCTTCATTAATCTGTAAAATATTTTTAATAGTTATACATTAATCAATTTACACTTGATTATTTTATGAAGAGAATCATACTTGAAGGTATTTTTTATATAAATATTCCATCTATCAAAGATTGCATTCAACATACTAAATAATCACTGGCAATTCTTCTCCCATTCTCTTAAGGTCTAAAATAAACAAGCAATAATCATAGTATTGCAAGCAATCCATAAGTCCCCTACCTGTTAGAACCCCATCAACATTCTGAAGGGCCATTGGCCATTCACTAATGTTTCAATTTTTCTCTATTTTAAGTAAATTTGTTAAAAAAATTCTTTAAAAATGATCAAAGGAAACCATTTTATGATCAGACAGACAGACAGACTGAAGGACACTCTAAAGTTAATATTTGAAACATCCCTGTTACCAAAATATATATTTTTAAAAGCAAAATTCTTAAAGAGGAGATAACTCTTGAATTAAAGATGCAATTTCATAAAAATTTTCAGCTCTTTTTGACTAATCACAAATATTGTTATATTTGCCATGTTTTAAGCCTATTAGTTGCCAAGGCAACCAAAAATTTTTCAAAATAGGAAGAAAAGATAAGACATGCATAATCTCCAGACTACCATCTACCCATATCTCAAGTTTCATAAAAATATTTCCAGTACTTTTTGAGTTATCACTGGATTCAGTTTATGTGTAAAATTTGCCATATTTTCAGTCTATGTGTTGCCATAGCAACCAGAATTTTCAACATAGGAAGAAAGAAAAAGACATGCATAATTTCCATACTGCAATCTATCCATATATCAAGTTTCATAAAAATATTTTCAGTACTTTTCAAGTTATCGCGGGATCCAGTTTTGTGGACGAACTGACGGGACTTTCCATTATTTTGGGTTTAGGGGCTATTTTCTTTGTTTTTTTCTTTGTTTTCTTAAGGGCTACTAGCCCATAAACCCTTTGATCACGGAATGAACCTATTGTTCTCTTTACAGTTATATAGCCCCTAAACCCAAAATGTTTGCTCTGACTGACTGACAGACAGACAGACATACAGACGGACGGAGGGTAAACCTAAAGTCCCCTTCAGTAAACTGGTAGGGGACTAAAAACTGTTTAATTTAAATTTCGTTCAAAACATTTTCTCACTCACCAAAAAATTTAATGTTTCGCATCAAAATTTGGCTCATCACACAAATTATGGAAATTCCATTATGTTTTAAACATAGAATAATTCTTAGTTATGAGGCCTCATATGGGGTACAGAAATTATCCATTATTTTGCATTATTTTATATTAGAGAAGTAGTTCCTGTACATAAAATATAACCCATTATTATTATACAATGTTGCTATATCAGACCTATTTTTCATTTATAATGGTTGAATAAACCATTTTCCCATGGGTAAATAGATCATAAGATATAATTCAGGATATTGAGTGTAGACTAAACGCTGGTATCTATTACTCGGTACCATTACCCCCAACGCATTCACATGCAATGGCGTGCTTGTATGCATAATATTTTACTAAGTAAAGCCATAAAATTATTTAATATAGTTGTATAGATAGAAATTTTGATAAACATGTTTTTGTCACACTGCTTATTTATCTGTACACAGTTGGTATATGTGGAAAACCCTTTAGCAGGCCTCACACATAAGTGTTTTTGCGCATGCGGGCAAGGACAGAATCCCCCAAAGTTAACAAAGCCACGTTTTGACAACACACAGGTGAAAGTGATTTAAAATGGAAATTGTTATACATACTGCCAAACTGACACTTAAATTTTGTCTTGTTTATGCATCTGCTTGATTTGATATCAAATTTTGCAGATTGCAAGAAAAAAATACGGGTACTGCTTCTGTACGGGAACTGCTCGCATGCCAGAAGTGCTCCTTTGGTTAGAAGTATATTATACAGAAATCAAAAGAAACATTTAACTATTTTACTCAACAATTGATACCGTTAAGAACAGCCAATGTGGGAAAAAAGATAAAAGGAATAATTTCATACCTTTTTACTCCATTCCTCTGCCTTTCTTGCTCCTCTATTATCAGTGTCGAGGTTAAATGGTTGTTTCACCGTCAAGGGACGATTTCTCTTCGGTGGTAAATGGGGCTCTAAATCTGGTATAGGATTAGCATGAAATTCCCTCTGCTGTAAATGGAATGAAATTTTCTAAAGTCTTACACATTTATTATTCAAGTGTCTCAAGACTACGATATTTCCATTTAGTTTTATACAAATTATACAAGTAAAAAAAAAATGGGTCAAAGACAGATGCCTAGGTTGCATTTGTATACCAAATATTAAGTGACTGTGATAAGTAGTTGCTGGGAAAACTGTTATTTCTTCCATTGACCATTGAGGTCGAAAACTAAGTAGGTAAACAGGAAGTGGATAAGCGACAGACCTGAAATTGAATCCCAAGGTACGAGACCACATGTTAAAACTGTATACCAAATATTAAGAGACTGTGATAAGAAGTTGCTGAGAAAACTGTTACAAATTTTTTCCCCTGCCAGTCTGCCCACCAGCTGCTTGACATAAACCATACTATAACTAAACCATACTATAACTTAAGTTTGCTTCTGTGCAACTCGTCCAAAAACGATTAAATTAAAAAAAAAAAAAATTAACTACAATCTGCCATAATATCATTTCATCAACTTACATCATTATATGAGCCGTGTCATGACAAAACCAACATAATGGGTTTGCCACCAGCAAATCTTATCAGGATCCAACCCTATTACAAGTAGAAAAACTGATAGCGAACAGCATGGATCCTAATCAGACTGTGCGGATGCTGCAGGCTGGTCTGGATCCCTGCTGGTCACAAACGCACTATGTTGGTTTTGTCGTGACGCGGCTCAATTATGTCAATTGAAATGTAAGTATTTCGGTGACGATTTTTGCACTTACCCTTTTTTCTTCTTCAAGAGCCTGTTCAATCTTCTTCTTTTTCTCCTCTGCTTTTCTTTTCTCCCTTTCCTCGAAACCGAAAGGAGCCGGTTCGGTAGCTTTATGCTTTCTCTCAGGCTGGAAAGGTATTCCTACATGCGGGGCTGGTCGGTAACGTAAGTGAGGCTTCTCATCCTGATTGTTGGAAAAGAAATCTGTTAAATACTTGTACCAGTAATCGCTACAAGGAAGCGATTTCACTGCCATACTAAGCTTAATCAATCTGACTTATATATAATGTTTACTCAATGGGTTAAGTCAGGATCCACATTTTAGAGCTTAATTTTGACAATTTTTATTACTTCAGGCTGTTGAACTGCCGATCAAAGGTAAACTCTAAACAATTTTAATAATCTTGGCTTTGGTGCCCATTTTAAATATTAATGTTAAACTTTTTATTTCCTACACCACTACACAGTCAAATGAGATATGCCAGAGTTCACTTTTTCTCCTTACTATTGTTGTTACTGCAGAAACCAAGTCAGACATGATGACAAAACAATGAAAAAACACGCAAAAAAGACAAAATGACATGTAATTATTATCTCGATATTGCTGCAAATTTGCAATTCTATTCAATTTTATTTATCAACAGACAACCTACTGTATTTTAACCATCATGACATCTAGAGTAAACCTACAAATTAATATCAGTCAGGGATGAAAAAAATTAGTACCAGTCAGGGAAGAAAAAAAATTAATACCAGTCAGGGAAGAAAAAAATTAATACCAGTCAGGGAAGAAAGAAATTAATTCCTGTTAGGGAAGAAAAAAATTAATACCAGTCAGGGAAGAAAACAATTAATACCAGTCAGGGAAGAAAACAATTAATACCAGTCAGGAACAAAAAAAAATCAATCAATATAAATCAAGCATCATACCTTTGGCTCCTCTACAACCGGTATTCGAGCACGATGTTTCAAAGCAAAGGCTGGTGATTCTGGTACAGTAGAGGGCAATTTCTTCGCCTCTTTGACACCCTGAAGAATAACAAAAATCTTTAACTTAAAGTGACTGCATACAATTAAAAAGATTTGTGTTACAAAATGATTTTCTTATTCCTTTTCAATAGTAACTACAGTCATACCTCATTTATTCGAAGTGACTTTACTTAGACTGTAAATTTACTTCGAATAATCGATGGGTTCGAATAATATAAAGGTAAAAATTGATGTAAATAACTTTTATAGTTTTTTGAAAATACAATGTACTCATCAAAAGGTTAACCAAAACCAACAAGAGGGTCATGAAAATAACTCCAGTCTTTTGTAATTGAAAAATGTTACATAAAATAGAGAAACCCCAAATCCTAAATTGATCATTTCTCATATAGATTCATAAAGATTTTGTAAAATCAAAAGATTTTGTAAAATACAATGTAGTTTAGAAAATCCTGAAAATTTTCGCCCATGCAGAATAGTACCACTAGTCCACCACAAGTTGAGTTTAAAATCGTTGACTTACAACAGTTCCTTTAAGTATTTTCTTGTTAAGAGGTTGAGCATGAAAATGATACTGCTCTTCTGACTGCTCTTTTTCATGATCATGATGGCGATGCTTTGACGAGAGATGAAACTCTTCAGTTACTGTTGGGGGCTTTGTTGGCACCTTCTTTACACCCAGACTGCTGTTCTTAAATATCTCGGGGTTAAATGGTTTAGCTTTGAACTGATTCCTATATTAAAATACAATAGGTGTTATTTAAGAAACTTTGCTCCTGTCAAAGAAATTTATATATCTTGAACAAGAGCACCGCTAGGCAGAGCATTATATGCCCGAAAGTGTTTTTTTTTAGTAACGAATAAGCATTTGTAAGACATGGGAATTAGCTTTTCATGCTATAAAATTTTACAGCTGTAGGTTGATTAATACTTAAGTTATTAATAATGACCGTAACCTTTGACCCCAAAATCAATAGGGGTCTTCTACCTTATATGGGCAATCATCCTAAGAAGTTTGAATATTTTGGGCCAATTGGAACTTTAATTATGCTCTAGAAACTGTTTTCAGTATTAAGGTAAAAGTGACTTTGACCTTTGGTCTTGTGACCCCAAAATCAATAGGGGTCTTCTACCCAATATGGACAATCATCCTATGAAGTTTGAATATAGTGGGCCAAATGAAACTTATGTTATGCTCCCGAAACTGTTTTTGGTTTCAAGGTAATTGTGACCTTGACCTTAAACCTAGTGACCCCAAAATCAATAGGGGTCTTTTGCCTAATATGGACAATCATCCCATGAAGTTTGAATATTGTGGGCCAAAATGGAACTTAAGTTATGCTCCGGAAACTGTTTTCAGTATCAAGGTAAGTGACCTTGACCTTTGACCTTGTGACCCCAAAATCAATAGGGGTCTTCTACCCAATATGGACAATCATCCCATGAAGTTTGAACATTGTGGGTCAAATGGAACTTAAGTTATGCTCCGGAAACCAAATTGCTAACAGACGCAAGGTCAAATGCCTACATAACAAATATCAAATAAATCTGTCAATAAATGAAGGCAGTACAAGAACCACTAGGAGTATAACGGAAGACTTCTTAATAGCTTATCATAATTTAAACTTAAGAATTATTATATATATATATTAGGGCCGGGAATTATATTCGAATATTCGAAACACTACCGAATATTCGAACATTGAAAAACGAATACGAATATTCGAAAAAAAGAGTGTTTTTTTGTTGTAATTACTTTCAAATTTCAATAAATATAGCAATTAAACCATTAACCTTTACTTGACCAGTTGCTCACACGTTTGTATGACACGTGTCAACGATTATCGCCAATTAACTGTGAAAACTTTGGGGTCTATAGTTGATCAAAAGGGCACCCGTTTCACAGTTTGCAATTTACCTGTTGAACAGAATATAATGTAAATTTCCGATTTTAATTATCTTGTTTATTGTTTTCTGTGCAATAATCTGCCCGATTAATCAGTAATTGTCTTAAATTTTGTAAAGACGAAAAAATCGACACGTATTAATCGGTGCTTTATGTAAGCATGGTCAGTGTCTATATTCCGTCAAAATATATTTATTCCGTAGAAACTAATACTCCGTGCGATATTTACTGCGTTATAGCTAAATGTATCTGAAGAATATTTTAAACCTTATCTGAAATTATAAATGAATAATATATTTAATTCAAGTTAGGTTTCAATGTAAATTATGTGTTTTGGGGGCTAAGAAGCTACGGTGATTCATATTACTGTCAATCAAGTCACGTGAGTTACCTACCGTTAATAAGACCATGAAGACAAATGATCAGCAGTCGGATTAACTGAACAAAAGGCAATCAAATTATGAATTTATTTCAAAAGTAAACATTTATGTCGATTTACTATATATTAAATAAAAAACTTTTACGTAGCTATATAGGTAGTTTTAATCGTCGATTATTCCAAACATATTAAAATTGTACAGTATTCGACGCAATCAATTTCGAATACGTATACGTCAAAGAGAAATATTGGAACAAACGTTGTAAAAACGAATATTCGAATATATTCGAATATGGAAAACGAATATTCGAACATCCAATTCCTTATTCGTTCCCAGCCCTAATATATATATATATATATTTTAGAATATGCTTCTTAAAAACATATTTCTATGAAAGGTTCTAGCTTCATAGTCATACATCAGTAGCAATTGCTATTGAATACACTTAAATTTTACAATATTCTCGTTATAGAATATAGATACATACTTCTGCATATCTTCCACTTCTTTTTTCTCCTGATCTTCTCGGGTCGGTGCTGTAACTGGTCGGCTCCTTGTTCGAGTCTCAAACTGTGGTGTTTTTGGCACAGTCATTTTAGGAGACTTTGATCTACCACGTTTTTGTTCAGTTGGGCCTGAAAAAAATTTAGGGAGTTGCTTTTACATAATGACCAATTATTTCAAAATTAAGCATAATATCTGTCACTGGGCTAAGTCAAACACCTACCTTGGCACAGGTAGATTTTTTTTTCCAATTTGAAAATAAATTAAAATAGTTGTTATTAATATAAAAGGATCCTTGAATGAAAATAACATTAATTTCCCTTAATTTAAATTGTCTGTTTATGAATAAACAATGCAGTCATATAACAAAAAACATGGCAATGCAAGGAAATCAGGTTTTTAAACTGGAAAACATATTTTTAGTATCAGTGACCTTGACGCTAGAGGGTTTAAGACGAGGTATCCAGATAAGCTAGCTATAAACCAAGTTTGACCTTGTTCTAAACACTAGTTATTGGCCAGAAACCTATTATTTAACACGCACTGACACTTCACATTCAAACATCACTTACAGTCTGCATCGTACTTGCGTCCACCTTTATTAAGTGGCTGCATAAATTCTCTCTCTGGATGATTTTTACTAAATAAGTTAATTCCATTAAACAACGATTTTATATCGGGGCCACTAAATGTCGGCCCAAATGTACAAAATTAAGTGTTAAAGTATCACTTCACATTCAAACATCACATACACATATTATGAAACATTTTTTTACCTTTTGATTTGGACCTAAATCTGTCAGGTGTTTTGGTGAATTGGGCTAGTTTTTCCGCCATGGACTCATATTTCTCAGCCTGCTTCTCCTCCAAGTCAGGTAGTTTCCTTTTCCTTTGTGTTGATAGTTTAAATGGCTCAGCTACTGTTAAAGTGTGCTTTGTAGCAGAACTTGTCTATAAAATGAAATCAAGAAATTATGATTAAAAGGTTTTACATATCTGCTGGATTGACGTCACTGACTCACTCACCTGCTGACAGTTATCTATAAAGTGTTCTTGTACTCTAAATCATTACTTTAAAATAAAATTTCATCTGGTTGATGTTAGCTCGTTCCTATTAATTATTGGATTCAACTCACTACGGTGTTGGAGCAGTACCTATAGACACTTGCAGATCACAAAGTAGAAAAATAAAGATTTTTTTGCAGATTGTTACATTATTCATTCATTTTCATATATAAATTGGTGTAAGGAGATGAATTAGACGTTTCAAATTCCATTTTGTTGGGTGAAAAGCTGAGATTCTAGCATGTAATCATTCAAGTGCCTTGTCCGGTATATACCAGAATACTTATATTCATCATTACAATAACCAGCTTTAGTTGAAAAAAAAATGTAAAGCACTCAAATCCGGCTAAGAATAGAAGAAAAATACGATTTTGCAGCTTATTTCTGTGTACATTTCTTAATCATATCTTGTGAATTTCTGTTTAAGTACCCTTGCTGATATATACAAGTGGAGTTTGTTTGACAATAACTTTAACCTCTCTATATATTCTATAGCAACACTTCTCACTAACAACCAAAATCTTTATCTCTCAAAAGGGTGGTTGCTATACAGAGGTTGTTCTATATAAAGAATTCATACCTGTTTCCCTTTGTCAGATCTTAGACTACTTGCAAAATCTTTTCCATCACAGTCATGTCTTGTCTCCATTGCATGAGTTTTTATTCTCGAGTCAGTTTCAAAAGTAAACCCTTCAGGTTTTGTCACTTCCTTCGAGTGAACAACACACGCTGGTGCTTTCCCACTTAAAGCCACTTTACAAGACTCCATCGCAAGTTTACGTTTCTTCGCCAGCTCTTGTCTGAAGTACGAGATCTTCTCCATCTCAATTTGCTCTGAATTCTTGACAGCAGCATGTGCTTGCATCTTGACGGGCTTACGTCTATAAAAAAAGAAAATTATGTTTGTTACTCAATACTAAAGAAATAAATCTCTACATAATTTCATCGAAACTCTGATGAATTTGCTATGATGAATTTGCATTACACGCCATCCTTTCAATTTGGATCAGTCCATTTTTAAGGGATTTCAATACTGAAATATAAAAACTGCCCTGAAACCCTCCTGAATTTGCAGTATGAATATGCCATTCTTTCAGTTTGGACCTGACCAGTCCTTTTTTAAGGGATTTAAATAGCCTAATTGTGAAGGATCTTATTTGGATCACTCTCCAGTCCATTTCCTAGAACTGGTTCTGATATTCCATGAAGAAACATGGTCATCACTCCAGTAAGGCTCCAGATAGGCAGACACCTTAATCTCTAGGTCACCGTGCTCATTTATATAAAATTAAAATATAATATGCAATAAATGCCTATCTTTTCTTAAAGAAGATCATTAGAACCTTGCTACACGTCAATGGTCAAAAATGAGAAATTATTTAGATTACTTTAAGAAATTTGGTGTGGTTGGAACAGTCACTGCTTTTTCTACATCAGAGTTTGTAGATCCAGATCTCGTTCTTTTAGGTTCCCGATCTCCTGACAGCCCGCGCGAGTGATTCCTCTGTTTTTCATTACATGATTTATTTACTGTAGAGAAAGAGCTGCTTCTTGCTAATTTACTGGCCTGAGGTTTGTTTGGTGTTCGACTTCTATCTACAACCACTGGCTTTTGTCTTAACGATTCTGACCTAAAAGATATTTATTGACATAAAAAATTAACAGATGAATTTATAATTTAACAACTGTTTTAGAATATGTTATTTCATAAGATTATATTTAAGACATCGAGGATATCTAATGAGATAAAAGAATATATGTCTTAACAGTCTTTACCATTAGCACTCTGCTTGAAATCAAATTTGGTTACTGTACAGCATAGTGAAATGCATAATGGATAAAGACTTTCAAGGTTATGCCATATAGATGAGTTTCATCTTGACTATAAAGGCTACCTTCTGAAAATTAAAATTTAATGCAAGCGTTGGTTTAAAAAAATTGCATAAACATCAAACTGACATCCTTATGAAATGTTATACTCTTTTTCAGGCAAGTATATCATAAAATGTGCACATTAAGAAGGGTGGAGGTCAGCGCCCGTTTACAATATATTTTTTTCTAAAAAAGTAAGGAACCTTACCTTTCCAGTGATCTATGCTGTCTTTTCACCACAGGTTTGTTGTCTTTAACAGGTTCTTTGCTGTAAATCATTGATATAATATTCATTATAAACATTGTAATAAAGTTAGGATGTTCCACATCAGAAAAAAAGGTCAACAATGCTCTTTCTCTGGTTTCTAAGTGTAAATTACAGACATAAACCTTGACTTATTGTTCATTGGATTTATGCCGCAATGGTTGTATAGTTACTATCAGGTTTTGCTGTAGGAGAAATACCAAAGTTGCAATTTGGTACATATTCAAGAAATTTTCACTTTCAGGACCTCCCTTCCGAGAAGAACCACAAAAGATTCCTCTGATAAAATAATTCAAAGTCTGTGGCATGATTTAAATTCCATGTAGCAACAGAGTGAAAGTGATGTAAATACACAAACCAATCTACTATTTGACATTGTAGTAGCATACATATTATTTGGTTTTCTATATATATTCAACAAAAAAATTCTATGATTATTATATGTTACCATTTGTATATCACCTGTAAAGTTTTTTTCCTATAAAAAACTCAATACCAAAATTAAGACCAATATGCTTTTAACACTATGTCTTAAAAGGAAATTGATTCCATATCACTTGAATTTCATTTCATGTTCTTAAAAGTGTTTATGTAATCATTCTTTTAAAGTGAATACTAATACTAAATAGTTACGTTAAAAATATAACACACTTTAACTAAACACAAAGCTTTTCAAAATGCAACATTCAGCTTCAACAAACAACAACAACAATACCTACCTATTTTGAGTAGTTTTAGCACCATTTGTTTTCTGCCTCCATTCTTCTAAATTTGTACAAATATTTTTCGGTACTTGTTTCTTCTTCTGAATAGCATTATAGTGTTTCTCTGTAAAAAAAAGGTAATTTTTCTGTTTTACATTTACATAAATCAAAATTTTAACTACAAATGTGTCCATAGGACATGGGTGCCCCCTCCTCAACTCCACTGTTTTGTCCATCTAGGACAAGTAAGATGTGGGGGCACAAAAATTAAAACCAGAGGACAGAACTTGCTGTGACTGATAATTACTCATAACTAGCGAGCTCGATGAGCTGGCCCTGCTCGCAAAGCGAGCTTTACGGTAACGCAAGTACCTGCTAAGTGATGGTTTTTAAAACTTTAGTCCGAAGTACCGAATCGACACATCGCAACTTTTCAAATTACAAGATAACAATAAAAGCCGTTGTACTCTGATTGAAAATGGAAGCGTAGAATTGTGTCCTGTGCACTTATTTGGAACCATAATAGACTGGGGGAACCAGAATAAACGGAAGCAGTGTATAAAATACCAAATGACAATTTTAAAACGGAAAATGTAAAATTATAATGAACGATTTTTAAAAACTTTTAGTACAACACAAGTCCCTTCGTAATAATTCTAGTAAACACAAACCAAACACATTTACCCTCAATCTTTCACCATTATATGGTAATTGGTAACATTTCTAAAGTAAATCTAAAAGTGCAATGAAATATGGTATCTAAGTCTTTTTAACATTATGATAAATTTAAAGAGCCAAAATAAAACAAGTACATACCAACAGTATTTGGTGTGATAGCTTTTCCTGAACGAGTCACTCGTGGACTAGGCGTGTGTATTTTATTTTCAGCTGAAGAAAAAATTTATTAAACAAAACATGAAATAATTTATGTACTAGAAAACAGATATGGAGAGAATTACTTAAGAATTTTTCTCACTTTTTGGTCATAAAAAAACTGCCCAACATTAATTTGATGACAAACCAAAATCATGCCAAACTGTAATTTTGTAAGGTAAATTTAAGCCCAGCAGAAAAAGAGGTATTAAGTTACAGGATGAATTCAATTTGAAATCAATAAAATAAAGAGGGACAAAAACATGTGTTTAAAAAAAAACAACAAAACAAATACCCATCTGGACCTACCTTTAACAACTTGATGCTGTGGTGTAACACTCTTTTCAACCTCTTTAGCCACATCTTAAAATAACAATTATGATATATTAATTGATTATAATTCTTAAGAAAAACTGAAAGAATATGACCTCAAGCAAAGTAATTCTGAGGTTGTTTATATAACAAGAGCTGTCGTTAGGACAGCAACGCTCGACTATTCTTAGTGCTTGATGGTAAAAACAAAAAGCTTGATACAGTTACATCCTCAAGTTTACAGGTTGGGGTGATGGTGGTGAACAAGTGTGCAAAGTTTCAAAGCCATATGTCCATGGACTTTGAAAATATTTTAGGTATTACAGAAACTTTAAAGTAAATTCTAAGTCGAAAAAGGGGCATAATTCTGTCAAAATGCTTGATAGAGTTACCTCCTCCTGTCTACAGGTTGGGAACATGATGGTGAACAAGTGTGCAAAGTTTCAAAGCCATATATCAATGGACTTTGAAAATATTAGAGGGATTACAAAAACTTTAACGTAAATTATAAGTCGAAAAAGGGGCATAATTCTGTCAAAATGCTTGATACAGTTCCCTCCTCCTGTCTACAGGTTGGGGTCATGATGGTGAACAAGTGTGCAAAGTTTCAAAGCCATAAGTCAATGGACTTTGAAAATATTTGAACTATTACAAAAACTTTAATGTAAATTCTAAGTCGAAAAAGGGGCATAATTCTGCCAAAATGCTTGATACAGTTACCTGCTCCTGTCTACAGGTTGGGGTCATAATAGTGAACAAGTGTGCAAAGTTTCAAGCCATATGTCAATGGACTTTGAAAATATTTGAACTATTACAAAAACTTTAACATAAGTGGTTACGCCGACACCGAGGCTCGGGTGACAACAATAGCTCTACTTACAGGGTTCCCACTCTTAGATATTTTGAAAATTTAAGGACTTTTCCAGGACTTATCAAGGACCTTTTTTGATTTTTTAAGGACTTTTTAGAAGATTAAATTTCACGCTATTCAATTTTTTTGTCCTATGAATTTTTTCGTGGTAATGTTTAAAACAACATTTAATAACACCAATATAATACATGTAGTTCATGACATAAATCTAACTCTATCTAAGAAATACATTCAGTGTCTATAAATAATGAAATGTACTTTGTGACAGCAACTGTTGCAGGGTGTCTGCAATTTTCATGTAATTTTGGTGTTTTTAATGCTTCCAAGGGATCACTTTTTTTACAAGATATTCATAGTACTTTAATAAGTAACCTCACATTTGACCTCAGTCCACTTAGGTGCATTGAATGGCAAAAGCATGTCACACTGAAGGGTATATGAAACTGCCTGCAGGTGTTTCTACATTAAAAATTTCACAAACTTTCATGTTTAAATGTTGTACTCTGCTTAAGCCTGTGCTACGGGTTCTACAAAATATGGTGGCAGCACAAAATAACCAACACACACAATTATAGCAATATTCATTTTGGTTTGTATACAATATAGATTTTAATGAGAAAATGAATTGATATTTACAAAATAATGTGACTTAGCCAACTATTACTTTCATTCATTCCATTGAAATTTTCAGTTCAGATGTTGTAAGAAAAAAAGTAACATTTGCTTTTCTGACTGTTAGGTTCATTAATGAATAGACAAATGTACTTGCAAGATATGAGATTTGTTGTCTACATTTAATTTGTAGGGTGTAATTTTGTTTGAAATTTCATATGTAAGTTCATTCGTATTATTTTTTTTATTTAATAGTTTTCATGGAGTATACTGTATTTGGGTATATTTTGGTTCAAAAATGTATATTTGGGTATGTTTGATTACATCTTAATGAAAGTGCATATTGTATTCATGATTAAAACAGCACTTTTTTTAGTATAACACATTCATTTTTAGTATATATGGCTAATATTTGGGTATTTCTTGCTACCCAAATATGGTGTGGCCAACTGGCTGTGCTCTGCCTTGACAATAGTTCATGTATGTAATACTTTTGTTTATTTTATATTGATTTACCTTTGGCTTTTAGCATGGTTGTGAGCAATAAGGTTAAACAAATTGCCCAAGGAAGCAACCAGACCTGTGAACTTTCATGTTTCTTAGCACTGGCCAATCAAGCAAACTTGTGGTCGATTTGTGACTGTCTAAATTCTTATAACATTTTCCAAACAAAACCGCCATAGTAACCAGAAAATAAATGTTAAATCTCATAAATGTCAAACTTGGCCTCCCAAAACACATGTAAATCGAAAAATAATCAACATTCAAGATGCGGAAGTCAATATACTGTGCTAAGACCGTCATTTTGGTTGTTTGATTTACCTCCCCTTTTCCAGACTAAATCCCGTACCTTCCCGGACTTTTTTATGTATATACACTAATTCCCGGACTTTTCAAGGCCGGGAGCTCCTGTTTTCAAATTCACGGACATTTCCCGTTTTCCCGGACAGCGTGGGAACCCTGTACTTATTCTTATCGAATAGTCGAGCTAAAAATAAAATATAAGTTAAGTTGAGCTTTTGATCTCGGCAAAGGTGTAAACTTGAAAATTCCAAATTTGAAAGTCACATGTGATGCTGTGATATATAAAGTCCAAAACAAAATAAAGAAAAAAATCACTGGCTAAGATAACACTGAAAGGTACACATACCAGACACAGCTTGATGTTGCACTCTAGACGCAGACCTGGTCTGCCTCATCTCACTTTGGGGTGTGGAGAAAACATCGCTTACTGCTGCAACATCAATGGATCCATCAACCGAGTCATTTGTTATACTGTTGACTGGTACACCATTTTCATGGTCATAATCTGAAAATAAAAATTAATTTGTTTTACAATAGTTACATTTCTCAGATATATCGTAAAATTCCTATTAAACGCCCCGGCGGCTAAACATTTTCCACCTGGGTTCGATTCCCGGACGGCGCAGGTTACTTTCGTTGTGATTTATCATGAAATCCTTTCTACGCTCATTCGCACTGTAATTCTGCTCTGGCACATACAGAAGTTTCAGTTCCCTGCAAAAGTGAAGGCAACTAGTACTGGTAAACTGCCTGACAGACTGACCAGGAACGATGCAGTGGTTGAACTGTGCTCTGATGAATTCAATTTGGCATACTGTCATGATCCTGAGAGTAAACTACCAACACCACCACCATGATGAATTGATTAATGCCTATCCTTCCGTAACGACAGCAGCATTCAACAGTGTTTTATGCACCCACATTCGGTAATGTTATACTATGCGGTAAGGCCGATTCCAATAGAATTTGAATGAAATGAGTATACAAACGACCTATTCCGTAGACTATTGCATTAAAATCTGAATGAAGTATACAGATTATGTTAAGATTATATATTAAAATTATCATAAACAAAATTATGTGATTAAATTAATAAATAAAGCCAGTGATACTGATACAGACCAATAAATATTAAAATTAAATCATGTGTTTTTTTATTATAACTATTATTGTCTGTCAAAATGCAGGGCAAGTAAATTTTTGAAGGGCGAGTAAATTTATAGAGTCACTCGCCCTGCAAATAAATTTCTTTGAAGCCTGATAGACCATAGATGTATTAAAAATGAATATGAAATCTTGAGAAATTACCTTATTAGTTACTTTTTTGTAAATAAATCTGTTTATAGATCTAATTATATCTCAATTAAACAGTCTAAATGAAAATATCATAAAATTCACATTCACATGTTTATTCAGAAAATCGGCATGGATGGTAAACTTGAGCTAAAGGTAAAAAGAAATACCGAAATAATCATCGACGTTTGCGTCATCCTCCGAAATTAAAGCCCCTGTAAAATCTACATATTGGGGAGCGTTATAATCCCAACCGCTTTCGTCTTCCATATCTTTTTAATATCGAAATTCGTTTTGTTTATTAAAGACCGCTATTCTAAAAATTTGTTCTACCCGCACTTTCAATTTGAACCAATCAGAGCAAACGTCATACGTCATTCTATTCGTTACAACAGGGCATTTGATTGGCTAAGTAAATATAGTCTTCGTACACAAACGTTTTCGCTTTTCAGAAAATAAGACACGATATATTTCGTTCAACATATATTTTTATATTATTTTGTACTCAGCAAACAAATACTCGAAAGGGTGTGATGTAGTTTATTTAGTCAGAAAATCAAAGCCTAATTGTATTCAGCAAGTGTCTGAATCTGAAACTCATTTTAACTTCATTCTACCAGTCTTCTGATTGGGAATTTAAAAAAGTATTGTTACTTTTGGTGGCTGTGTGGCAACTACTGCCCTCTTGGACCAAATTTAAATGTTTATAGCCATTTTACTTGCTGAACGGATTGTCCAACTTTAAATTTCGACAGTGAGATAGTCCATTCAAAGTTAACGATGTGCAGGCACGAGATACGATCGAGTATCGGACCTGGGAAGAAAAAATATGTCCAGATTGATATAAAAAAAAACCTGTGTACATCTTAAATGTGTCAAGAACAACAAAAAAAGAGTAAAATATGACACCCTATAAAAATATACTGTAAGTTAACTTATAGTACATTTTTATAGGGGGTCATATTTTACAATTTTGTATTTGGTTTTTGACACAAAGATGTAAACAGGATTTTTTTTTATCAACCTGGTCATATTTTTTCTTCCCAGGTCCGATACTCGTGCCTGTGTGTGCAGGCTGTCCAAATTATACACTGGAGTAAAGGGTTAACCACTTTCAGATCAAGCCGGTATGAACAAATGAAATATGATTTTTTTCGGATATCACAGATAAAATTTACCTGATGTATTTTTTTGTGAGTAAACTGAATATCATAATGCTAATTCGGAACTTTACTTATATGACGCATTCATAAATCTTCACTTATCATAATCATTGAAAACTTAAATATTTAGTTAATTGTTTAATTTTTTTAAAAAAAAAGCAATTTAATTAGAGGACTTAAATATAGATTATATTTCATAAACGTGGTCAGGGTAAGAGCGATTTGGTACTTTAGAAATAAATAAACTGTGCATGCATATATATGTTTCTAAATTTCCGGACTTCCGAGTTATCTAATAGTTTACACCAGAGCTGCAATCTTTATTTTCATAGTAAAATAGGGGTATGGCTCATTGGATGTTCACAGTAAATATGTTTGATAACAGAAAACATTTGATCCTCAGTCAGAAATGAATTCTAAGTCGATAAGTCCATTCCCATTACACTATATACGAGTACTACTATATCTATATATTAGTACATATGTATATGTAATGGGAATGGACTTAGAATTCATTTCTGACTTCGGATAAATTCTAAATTTCCGGACTTCCGAGTTATCTTATAGTTTACACCAGAGCTGCCATCTTTATTCTCATAGTAAAATACCACAGGAGTATGGCTTATTTAATGAACACAATATATGTGTTTGATAGAAGAAAACATTTTAACCTAAGTCAGAAATGAATTCTAAGTCGATAAGTCCATTCCCATTACGCTTTATACTAATAATAGTGCGGTAGAAAACCTACTTATATATACATTTGTTTTTGAGTTATTTATATCTTACATGCATTATATAGTTGCAATAAAATATTATTAAACTAAGAAAAGCTACTCAAGATCACCTTGGAATTAAGACCACCCCGTTTTAAATAAAAAAAATTATAGGAAAGGAATTTTCTGTTCCTTTTACTTAACGGTTACATGATCCACAATTGTCACAAATTTAAACTTCAGATAAGTAAAAATTTGTTGACAAGGCCGTTGACCAGTGGAAGCAATTATGATTTTGCAGCCCTGCATAAACCAAGTGTGAAAAATTATCTTCATTGGTTTTCAAGAAGATACAATATATATCTACTAATAGGTATATTAGTATATAGTGTTATGGGAATGGACTTAGAATTCATTTCTGACTTAAGATAAATGTTTTCTGCAATCAAACGCATATTTTGTGAACATTCAATGAGCTATACTCCTGTGTAAAATACTTGTTACTTGAAGACCATTTTGCATACAACAATCAACATGCTATTTTTTTGTATAACAAGATTTTGAACATATATAGGAGTTTCTTTACATACGAGTTCACGGGTTTGGACACCCACCCTACCCTGCCCCCTAGACCCCTGCTACAACCCTGAAAAAAAAAATCAACACTCTAAGGCTTACTATAAGGTGCCAAATACAAAATCACCGATAAAATTAAAAAAAAAAATCCCACTATCAAAATTATAGTTATATAGTCTATAACTATAATTTTGATAGTGGAATTTTTTTTTTATAATTTTATCGGTGGTTTTGTATTTGATCCTGCCACCTGTGTACTAGTCCAACTAATTGTACTGCGCGACGAGATATTGTGCTATTTTCGTGTCTGGGCAATATCTCGCCTAGCGAGATTCTGCCCCAGAACGAAAATATCTCAGAATCAAGCTTTGGCACGTCAATATATTTTGACTACCTGTGTACATACTCTGTATCATAACTTTTATACGCAAACATGAAAACATATTTTCTAGTTCATTTTGAATATTAGGAGTAATGTAATTCAAAGTTTTATCTATTCTGATTAGTTCGATTAATTAGTTCGATTATACTTACTGGATGTTGTTTTTCTCCGTTCCGTTAAAGAATCGCACTTTCCGCGATTGAATGAACGGTCAAGGTCGCTTCACGGAATCTCGACACACACGAAACGAAGTCATTTTAAAGGTGATTAAGACATCTTATTTATCATTTTTGTCAACTGAAACGTTAATTGGTTTTTGTCTGTTTCGACATCATTTGTTTATCAAAAGTTTGTTTAAACATTTTCACATAATTACGCAATAATGAATTATTGAAAGCGGTAATATTCGGACAGGACATTATTCGGATAATTTTTATAGGACAGGTTCAATTTTCAGGTCACATTTTTTTCTATAAATTTCATAACAATCTCTAGTCAGTAAGTAATGTTAAAATTTTTTAATACTTTTATATTTCTTGATAATTATCACCAATTTAATAAACCAATGAAGATAATGTTTTCAAATTGGTTTATGCAGGGCTGCAAAAATCATAATACACGGATTTACAGTTTCCGAACTAGCAGACGACAGGCTTTTCTTATTAGTAGAATTGCGAGTAAAGATAACCGATTGCGTATCTCACTGTATAAAATGTATGTAAAATGGTCTGACTTCACTTGTGGTAGGTTTAACCGTAAATTAAAATACCTCCAGTGTCAAATAATGTTATGAAATATACATGTATACTGAGATAAAGCTAAGATCACAAGCTTTCCATTGGTGTAATAAATTTAAAATCGGACATGAAATCGCCCCAAACTAGCATTGTTTTGCATTAGAGATATCGATTTTACTCGATGCTAAGGGAAACAACTCTTGTTTTTTTCACTTGATATACCTAGGTTATTTACGTAGTTCATATAGAGACTGTAAATGGGTGTATTGTTTCCACTTGTCAACAGACGGAAACTTTTACTTATCTGAAGCTAAAATTTGTGTTAATCGTGAACAGTGTTACCATTCAAAAAAGGAACAGAAAATTCTGTTCGGCTTCCTATAAATTTTTTTCTTAAATGCGGGGTGGTCTTAATTCCAGGGTGGTCTTTAGTAGGTTTTCTACCTCAGTACTCACTGGATGTGTAAACACCTATATTGGAAAAATCTAACTCTAACATCTACTTCATATAATATTTCTTACATATGAATGTACCTGCATTTTTGTTAAATTATAGCTTTAGCTGATAGTTAACAGAGAATTCTATTCCTTTAAAAATTGGTCTTAAAAGGGTAAAGGGTCAACTCGGCCCTATACCAACTAGGCACGGGTCAGCTCAGCAACTCGGCCCTCTTTTAAAAGCTTATATTAGGATATAGATTGTTTTGATTGTTTAGTTAATTAATAACATTTATGGAGAAAATTATTATAAAAGTATTCAGAAGTACGATCAATTGAAAAGGTTGGCAGTGTACATGTACGTATTGTTTGAAATTATCTTTGTTAAGAAGAAACAATATACATGTATGTTAAATATTGATCCATGATTGAATTTTTATGGCAATAAACGTTATTGTTTTTAACACTTTTCTTGAATACGACAAAAGCTGTTTTAACTATATATTTTTTCTTCCTGTCAGATGAAGGTCTTGAAAGACCGAAACCGGTAGATCCTAGAATAAACCAGTTATAAACCATCCTGATGTTTGATGTGTATTCTCTCCTTCCTTTGATTTACTTGTGAATATTTTTTTTACTAAAAACATTTGAAGTAGACAAAACATGCATATAAATTGTAAACTCTTCCTTTCTCTACAAATTTACATACAAATTGGTACTTTGGTGAATAAAACTTTCCTATATCCCTGAGTAGAGGTCTATTACTGTGAAAATGTTAAAGAATGAAAGTTATGATTTAAACATATAAAAGTAATCATTACCAGTAATATATAATTATGGGCCAAGTTGACCCGTTCCAAGTTGGAATAGGGCCGAGCTGACTTGGGGGGGGGGGGGGGGGGGGGGGGGGAGGGGGGGATTTTTTTAAAAGCTTGATGGTCTTATTTCCAGGGTGGTCTTTAGTAGGTTTTCAACTACTACTTTATTATCTTTGCATATTTTTACATTTTAAGTGGGTAAGATTTTCAAAAGTTTATGTCTTGAGGCTTTTGACCTCAATGGAATTACTTTAAAGTCTAAAAGACTATGCTATTGAAAATATTAACAGATTAATTTTGGCTATTTTACCCCTGGCTGCTAATTGGTAAGAAATTACTGGTAATGTTCTGCTTTCTCAGTTAAAAGCTTTGATTAAAATACAGTACTTAGAACTTTGGTATTAAGTTGAAATTGAAGGGACTTGTGTAAAAACTTTAACACATTGGGACTTTGACTCTTGAATTGGTCTCAATTTAATGACGAAATTTCAAGCCGTCAACGTTTACATGTGAGTAACAAATGGCGTAACAAATGGAAAGGGCAATAACTAAACCATTTTAAAGTAAATATATCATGATATGTGATTGTCAAGAGACACCAAGTAATGGAAGATCTCAAACGAAAAAAAATTGTTCTGTTTCTTTTAAAATAAAACTACAGTAATTAATATGTTAACATTAAAAGCGTATACTATTATTCACAAACACAGAAACGCATACAAAGGCTGTTAGAACACATGGATGTGTTATTAACACCTGTCATATAAGTTGATCGGCAATAATTTCTACGGCCAAGATTAGTATGAAAAACATCTCGAGATCGAAATTATTTGATTGACTTGGACTTATTTATGATATAATGTTCCCGAATTATTCCTCACGCAGTGTTTATTCTAGGATTCAAAAAACAGGGGGGGGGGGGGGATTTTTATCAAAAAATGAGAATTAATAACATTTGTTGGTTTTTTCCTTCTTTCTCTATGTAAATTTTTCCCCCTGTCTCTGAAAAAATAGAGGGGAATTCTAAAAAATAAGGGTGAATCCCCCCCATCGCCCCTCCTAGAATAGACACTGCTCACGGACCCAAAAAATTTTGACACATCAAAAAATTCAACACATAAATATTTGACTAACATAAAGGTTTTAGTAAAGAAAATATAGTGAGTAAATAGGGACGTTCATTTTACTTTGACACACTGAGAAAATCGACTTATCGAAGTTCAACTCAAAGAAGTTCTACTGTATTAACAGTATTTTGTAGTTGTTGATGATATAATACAGGTATAGAATGGAAGATATAGAGGTTAAACCTGGTGAGATGGTACTGTGGTTGTGGGCAGGCCAGTCTCCTAGTGATGATCTTCAATCAGTGGTGAAAGACTTGCAACAGAGACTTGGTAATGGCAAAATACAGATGGAACATGTTGACAGACTTACACTTGGTATGATTCTTTATTTATATCCTTGATTAAGAAAAGGGTTTGTAGAATACATGAAAAAAGTTAAAACAATCTTGATTCTCACTCTTTAATTTTTTTCTTGCACTAATTCTGTCTGATATGTAGTTTACAGATTAAAAATTCAGACAAATATTTATTCACCTTTTTCTTAAATGAAAATGATATAATAATTTCAGCCAAACATCCAGTATCTAGCTTTGACAAAGCTGTGTCAGGCCTGCTAGACCCGAGTGCCAGTTTGCATAATGCAGAAACCCTTGCAGAAATGTGCCGCATTCTGAAGCCCGATGGGAAACTGTATCTAGGTCAGGTTGTTACAGGTGCTTCTAGTGATGAAAACAAGATGGTGATGACAGATAAAACAACGTCGGCTTTGAAATTGTCTGGTTTTGTCAATATATCACAGGTATGAAACAGACCCTATTTGATTGGAAAAGCGAAATTCCAGTCGCCTAAAAATCTCTAAAAATCTCTATGAAAAGCCTGACATGTATATTTCACCACCTGATAATGCTGCCTGGAGTCAGATTTAATTGTGTAATCGGATGTAATTAGCACACAAGCTAAAGCGTGTCCATAACGACACTCTGTAACCAACATAACTAAAAATAGGGCATGACTTTTTTTTATCACCCATTACTTCTTAAGCTTATTCTCTAGATTCTTAATAATTATTTGCACTAAGTATTTTTTCATTAAATAGTATAGCTATTTGGAGTTGCTGTTATAATTATGATATTTTAAAGTAGCTCCATTAATGTCCAAAAGTGAAAAAACCCCGGTAAAATGTAAAAATATTACATAGATCAACTTGGGCCCTTAAAGATTTAAACTTTGAAAAAGATATGTAATCATAATATGGTGAGAAAATATTCTCAGAATTATATAGAAAATCTATATTTAAATCTACATTTATATAAAGCGTTTGAATGTTTTTCAATTTTTAGCTCGACTTTTCTATGAAAAGGGGAGCTATCCTACTCGCCCCGGCGTCGGCGTCGGCGTTGGCGTCACACCTTGGTTAAGTTTTTCGTACCACCCCACTTTATTTCAGAAGTATTACAAGTATGGCTTTGAAACTTACCATACTTGTTCACCATCATAACCTCCATCTACAGACAAGAGTACATAACTCTGTCAAGGTTTTTGACAGAATTATGGCCCTTTTTTGACTTAGAAAGTGTATTGAGCTTGGTTAAGTTTTTTGTACCACCTCACTTTATTTCAAAACCATTGGAGGTATTGCTTTGAAACTGACCATACTTGTTTACCATCACGACCTTCATCAACAGACAAGAGGACATAACTCTGTCAAGGTTTTTGACAGAATTATGCCCCTTTTTGACTTAGAAAATACATTGAATATGGGTAAAATCCACTTATTGCCTTAACCCTTTGAGATATTGCTTTGAAACTTTTAATGCTTATTTCACATCATTACCCCCATCTGTACGCAAGAGAAGGTAACTCTGTCAAGGATTTGTTTTAAAAAATTAAGGCGCTTTTATCGACTTAGAATCTTGGTTAAGTTTTTAGTACCAGTCCACTTTTTTGACTGAACTGTTTGAGATATTAATTTGAAAGTTGGAATACTTGTTTACAATCATGATTCCCAAACATGTCCAGGAGAAGGTAATTCTGTCAAAGATTTTATTTGAATTATGGCCCTTAACTGTCAATGTTTTGTATTATAGGCAAGCACTAAAAAACTTAAAAAATCTAAAAAAATTCATTCCTATCCACTTGTTCACTTTACCATAAATTATGTCATAATAAAATAATTCTTCACTAAATATCTTAATGCTCATGGCCATTGTTCACTTTAAAAATACAGAGATTCTTGTATTGCCTTTTACTGCAAAAACTTTTTTTATTGGCAAGCAATAAAAAAGTCGAGCGCGCTGTCTTACGGACAGCTCTTGTTGCTCATCTAATACTTGCACTATAAAAAGTTATTTTTCTTGAAAAACAAATGGCGTGAATGATCAGAAATTTCACACTCAAGTTATTGATATTGACCCTTATCAAATGGTATGAATAATCTCGAAATATAATTTCAAGTCCAGTCATGTCAGAAAGCCTCATTGGAGTTCCTTATAGGCAATTTTGTAGTCTTAATGTGTTATAACCATCTATGTTACAAATGTAATTTTAATTTCATAAGTAAGCATGTTTGTATCACTGCCATGTAGATTTTAATTTTGGTCATACATTTTTATCTTGGCAGGTATCCATCTTAACAACTTTCCTTGATAACTTACCTGTAATTACATGTACCAATTTCTCTGCAAGTGACCTGCTAATCCCACATGATTTCTAAATCAGCATTGAGAGGCAAATGACCATAATTAGAATCATTGTCTGAGATCTATTCTTATGGATAAATTTCACTTTGCAATTGGATCCATACATGTGTATTTGATTAACCATAACAGTTACAATGTAATTAAAACAAGGTTTCTGGATGTTTTTTTTTTCAGCCAAAAGTCCTGTCCCTGTCTGATGACTCTAAACAAGATCTTGTTAAACAACACAAAACAAATGACGTATGTCTGGTCCAGTTCACAGCGTACAAACCAAGCTATGAAATAGGTGCTACATCACAACTAAAGTTGTCCTTTGGTAAAAAGAAAACAGGTACGTGGAAAGCTATGTGATTATGTATTCAAAAATTAAAAAATATCCCCAGCTCATTGCTATATAAATAAAATTCAGGACTTTTATTCTAACACATCAAGAAAATTGACTAATCAAAGTTCGACTCATAGAATTCTATTGTAGCATTATAACCTTTAGATACCATTAAAATTAGGGCTATAGACTATAAAACAAACTTCTATATATTGTAGAAACATCAAGCAATTCAAATGAACAGACTGCTGCTGTATGGAAGCTGTCAGCAATGGATATGGGTGATGATGATATTGATTTAGTCAATGAAGATGAACTGTTAGATGAAGAGGACCTGAAAAGACCTGATCCTGCTTCTCTGAAAGGTAAAAATAAGTCCCATAATTAAGCTGGAATTTTATTGAATTGATTTCCTCCCAAAATAATTGTGTTGCGCAGTAAATTCTTTAAATTAAATAAAATTGTATCAAGCCATTTGTTGTTTTAGTTATTTAGGTTGCTCATGTTTGGGTGCGAGTGATTTTCTTACTTCACAAGTTAAAGGCTGCAAATGTGTTCTTCTTTACAAGACTCTGTTCTATTTGCTGTCGCTTAATATGAATATTTTGAAATTGAAATTAGAAACTAAAGATAAACATTTTTAATTTCAGTTGTAGTGGGTTTAAATATTTTTGACTGAGTTGATTAAGTTATTATACCAATCCACTCATGCAAGATTGTTTGGTTCTACTCAAATTCCCTGGCTTTTAAATCAAGTAATGTAAGAAGTTGCACCCACATATGATACAATTAAGTTGAAAAGTCGCAATATAATATAAAAAATGAAGGTGGAACTTAAAAACCAGACTAGGAAAAAAGGAATTGAATTGTATGAATTAGAGTATATGTGTTTAATGCTTACTAGCCTTTAGTGTGGTGATCATTATTATTCTTGGGGCAATAATTTCGTGGTTTTTGCGCATAGATCAATCCAGGAATTTAAGATCGAACAAAATTTTCTTAAAAACCAGAGTAGGAAAATAATTTAATTGTATGAATTAGAGTATATGTGTTTAATGCTAACTAGCCTTTAATGTGGTTACTGCAAAGTTGTTATTATTCTTGGGGCAATAATTTTCGTGGTTTTTTGCAGATAGGCAAATACAGGAATTTAAGATCGAACAAAATTTTATTTTGTGTGCTGTATGATTAGTTTTAAAGCTGCATGCCTCCAGATGAGCAAAAATATTTGATAAAATCAAACCTGAGAAAAATGTACTAAGATTTTAGGAAAGGTATAAAGATTCAAAATTCTAGTAATAATTTACATGTTATTAGCGATTAATGACCGATTTTTCAGTATTTATAACTATATTTCTACTGCGTTACTAACGCAGTAAGGTCTATTTTTGCATATTTTGACCTCTTTATAGCAATTTACATGGGTTGTAAGTGCCATTGATAATGTGTAAATTGCATTCTTTTGGTAACTTTACAATATTATACTGTTAAATACATTTTCAAATTTTCATGAAAATTAGCATGAATCTGGAGGCGTGCTGCTTTAATACATTAGTTGCATTTTACTGTTTTTGCAAAAAAACTGGTAATCCATGAATTTAAGAACCAATGTCCTTTTGACAAAATCTCGAAATTTCATGCCTAAGAAATTCATTGAATTTACAGAATAATTATGTACTTATATTACTATATGTTCAGTAAACTCAACTTATATGTTCAGTAAACTCAACTTAGTACGTTATTCAGGGGACCGCCAAATTTATATTGTTATATAATATGGATATTGTTTATATCCCAGAGGCAACAAATTTGAAAACAAGAATCATGACAACAGCATCGTTATGTGTGGTATATTGTTGTATGTGTTATTGTTATAAGTGATACTGTTTACTGTATATTAAAATTTTAATGTCAAATTGATGATTGAAACCTTTTTCTTCATTTATTGTTTCTAGCTGACTGTGGTACAGGGCCTGACAAGAAAAAGAAAGCCTGTAAAAACTGTACATGTGGTCTGGCAGAGGAACTTGATGCTGAAGCCACCAAGTCAAAGCCCAAAACAGCTACCTCTGCTTGTGGCAGTGTATGTATATATTTACATGAAATAATAAAAATACATGTAGATAAACTCTGATGCCAGTATGGAAATATGCAGATTATATGATTAAATAGCAGAAGTAATACTGTATATCTAAAAGAGAAGGCGAAAACTTAACATCTACAGATGCTACTAAATGTTAGATTTTACAGGTTTCATATTTAATTGTGGAATCCTGCTTTAGTATGTGGAGGGGATGGGGGCAGATATGAATGGTAACTTGCAATAGACATATGAACAGGGTCAATAAAACAGAGATCGCTACACTTTCGTTTTTACCATGTTGCACAATTTTCAAAGTTTCTTCATTTTATTATTAGAAGACTACTAAAAAAGGTAAAATTTTCAGGTTTAAAAAGAAAGTTTTATTCTTCATGAGCACCAAAGCTTGCATAGAAAAATTTTGGATTTTGACTTGATTGTAATATTTACAATATTTTACATTTTCAGTGTTATCTTGGCGACGCATTCCGATGTTCCAGTTGTCCATATTTGGGTATGCCGGCCTTTAAAGCAGGAGAGAAAATTACTTTGTCAAACAGACAACTACAGGCTGATAGATAACAAACAGTGACAATATTTAGTGTTGAATGTATATGAATGGTACTGCAGACAAGAGCAATTTCTTTTTGGCTAGATCAGTTATCAATCCTTTAATTATGAATGAATTGATTAGTTGTAGAGTTTGGTAATTATAAAATCCTAAGCATTTTGATTCAATGTATGATTTATGAATAGTCAAGATTAAAAGCTAGTAAATAGCCTCACCACTGAAAATAATGTGTTAATAGAGTTAACGATGTATATTTTAATCGGATGTAATATTTTATCAACTGGTGCCTTGCCTGAAATAGAAGTGATTCGGCTTTGACAGTAGTACTGGCCCATCTGTGCAGTCTGACCAGGCTTTATACATTTAAATTTTCCAATTTTATATATCCAAAATTGATAATGGGCAGTTCTAAGAATGGAAGCTTAATTCATAACAATAACAATTACTACATAGCAAATTCATAACAACTACTACATGAATTTTATAATGATTAATTTACAATTTAATGGTTATTCATGAATTAAGGAGTAAATTGTTGAGATTATGAATTAAAATTTATTCATGAATATACAATGTAGGTGTAAATTGTTGTGGTTATGATTCAGTATTAATTCATGAATTACATGTAGTTGATGCGGTTATGATTAAATTTTACTGTCTATAATTCATGAATATTATAAACAGTTCAATGTTTATTCATAAATAGGAGCAAAATGATGTGGTTATGACTGAATGTTTACTCATGACTTGGAGTTAATTTATGTTTTATTGTTGCAATCATGATGTAATGTTGGTTTATTAGTACATATTGAAGTAAATTTTGTTGCTTCTAAATTAAGTGAAGAGGGTCAGTGAAAGAAACAAGTTTTAAAAATAAAGTTTTCAATTATCTTTTGTCAGATGATGAATTACCAATTTATATAGTGATATTTCTTTAGGACTTTGGAAATTCAGAATATATTACTTCAAATGTCACGGTGTGTATGTCAGACAAGCTAGCTAACACATATATGTGTAGTCTGACAACAGTTTGACTGTTGTCCGTCATTTGTTTTGTATCTACTTGTATCTATAGATCTATTGTATCTAATATTCATTGGATTGGCGACCAACATTTACAAATTCAAAGCAGGTACAGTCTGTTATATCACCTAATAATTAGAGAAATTACAGAGATTTAAGTGATATGATTATAATTTTAGTTTATTACAGTATGTTCAATTTTGATTTTTTAAAAAAATATTTGTATAAGTCTCATAAGAAATGTTAATTGTAAATGATAAAATCAATGAAATGAAAATAATAAATTTTTGATGATGATAAAATCTGTTCCAAAAGGTGTAAACATTTTTCAAATGTTGACATGTTAAGAAGTTGGAGTGTATGTTATTTGTGAAATGTTGTAACAAATAAATTATAAACACTTGCACTAAAATTAGTTGTGTTTAGAAATCATATGAAATGAATTCTGAAGTATTCAAGTGTCTGCATAACCTCTGTTCCCCTTCCAAAATTCCATTTTACTTAGTTATGCCATTTGTTTTCTCGTTTAGGGCACACACATTCTTTTACTTGGGGGCCATGTGCAGCTGTTTATGGGATGATACAAAAGTGTCACATTGGAGGTTTTATGATCATCATTGTATAAACTTATCTTAGGATGTTTCTAATTACAAAATTTCACTATTCTTAAAATAGCTCATTCAGTGTACTGCTTCAGCTGGTGCAAGGGGTGTGATTGCCACTGACTCGAGCCAAGCCTATAATTTTATTAATTTTGCTGTTTTTGGCGTTCTTCTATCTTTTGTATACCATATATTCTCACATAAGGTTCTCATCATTTGAACTGTGTCAATCAACTCTGTTAAATCACTAACTGTAAACCTCGGAAGTCTTTCTATCAAAAGTGTCAAGACAAATTTCTATTCTTTCATCCAAATACTAGGATAGACAATAAACACCAAAAGTAATACAGACATGACTAAAGCAGTCCCACATTACTGAAATGCTGAAATAACTTCGTTTATTTAAAACCCTATGTGTAGATTTCTTCGCTGTTCATGCTATTTATCTGTAACCTCTATTTTTCAGTATACCGTTAATTTGTACTGTTCAGTCACAAATAAGTCTTCATAAAGAATTACATTCGCAGTTATTACTGGAAATATTCAAACCATGCTTGCATAACACTATTACAGCATTCCTTATCCTATATCTTAAAAGGAAATATTCTAAGTTCTTTACACTTTTATACCACGTCTTTTTCTCTCACTCTGACAGGGTTTTTATCAACTTTGTAAATTTGTCCTCACCAATTTGTATGTCAGTCTTTGTCAAAATTTATGGACTTCATCTATGTAATCATTTTCACATTTCCAAGTTAAACTTGATAAACTACTAGTATAACATGGTTCACTATTATTTCAAACAGTTTGCGGGCCACACGCTTTGTCCAGGTTTTAAAATGCGGAAATTCATAAGTTATGCCAACATATATACATGAAAAATTATTAATGCAGGAGAGAGTGTAATTGACCAATTAGATTATTTACTGGCAAATCCCATACTATCTATATAGTTTTGCCAGTTGTTTTCTCGTTTAGGGCACACATATTCTTTTACGATACGCAGCTTTTCATGGGATGACATAAATGTGTCACATTGAAGGTTTTATGATAACCCCGCCGTACCAACACATCTGCACTAAGGTTCACGGAACGAAACGGTTCTACTGCTTGTTACAAATTACTTTTATCATGTGTTTCATGATGAAGTTTATGAAGTATATTCATCACTCAATCGATTAGTGTTGAACTTGTCTCTCGCCAATGATATAAATTATATACAAGTATAAGACATAGAAATACATTAAATGAGGTTTTCATGTAAAACATTGCATATATTGTTTGGACTGAATAACTTTTCACGTTTTAATAATATGATAATTATAATGAAAACATTTTAAGTGAAAACAAAGCAGGAGTTACCGGTCTATAATATTACAAAGCTCAACATCTATACGTCCAAAATTAAATGTCATAGAATCATTTCAAGAAGGAAGTAAACAAGATATGTTAAAGTGCATCCAAATAGCTGACATGAAGTTATGAATTTACACAATTGACAAGCCTATAAAATGGAAGCTGACATCACAGTTTTGCTTGATATTTCATTAGCACCAACATATGAGTTCTTTGTTTTAAAACAGTTACTCTCCTGATATTATTTAACGCTTTGTTTAACCACAAAACATAACAATAAGTAGTGAAGTATCAAATATATAGGAGCACTTCAGACATCATAAACAAATGCCAAGATGAAAAAAAAAAACCGCATCGAAGTCTAAATGTTGCATTGGATTGCACTATATATTATATATAGTATATAATTTAGTTGTAATAGTACGTAAATAAATGACACAGTAACAATACACATCATAAAAATAGAGACTTAAATAATGGAAATTTACCTTTTTGCAAATCATGTGGAAAGTATTTTCATCAGATAATTGTAAACTAGACAGTAAGCAGAAAATGCCTGTAGGAAGTAATTTTAGATGTGGTCGTGTGTGTGTGTGTGTGCGCGCGCGCGCGTGCGTGTGTGGAGGAGGGGGGGGGGGGAGATACTTCCTTATTTGTGAAATTGTGTAGGAGGGCAAGAAAGCACAGTCTAGTTTAGTCTTTAATAGTTTATGTTTTATATTCAAATGCTTTCGTTAGTGCTATCATCATTATAATTTAAATACATATCTATGACGTTAACCCTTACAAAGGATACATTGTACATAGACTCACAGGAACTTGAAATTCTATCAATATAACTGATAATATCCAAAATATACCCCCTATACAGTAAGTGTTTATTTATACTGTATAGGGGGTATATTTTGGATATTATCATTTATATTGATAGAATTTCAAGTTCCTGTGATAGACTTAAGTCCATATTGCCATTCAAACCGTCTAGTCAAGACTCTGACATTATTGGGGCTTCTTTTACTATAAAATGTAGAGTAAATCCACAGATCAAGGACTTATTGTCCTAGATTTACTTTCTCAAAACCATTCTCACGCTTGGAATTATAGATCTCATTAATTTGGCCTACTTCAGTTCATACAAAAAAACTAACCGAGAGCCTCACCCAGGTGTCATATTCGAATACCGGAGACCGAGGACCGTCCTTAAGGAGATTCCTCATATATATGTAAACAAGGTGACACACGTAAACACTTGCGGTCGAAATCGAAAGTTGTGGAAAAAGAGAAACTAAAGTAAGCGTTACTTTATATATATAATAATACTTTATTAGCTTTTTAGGAAAAAAAAATTACTGAAATATGCAAGTTAAGTTTTTGTTTCTTCTTTACAACCTATAAATAAGGGGACTAGCTATACTTCTGCAAACGTGAAGTTGTTCGTTAAAAGATTGAAATTACTACCAGTAATAGATCTAGTTCATAGACGAAGCGGTAATAGAAAAAGTTCCCTGGCCGGAAGAAAAGTATGTTTATGTCAAAGTGTAGAGAAAGGCGACGTTATAAAAGTAAACGAATTAACGAATTTAATCCGTGAAATATGCACTCAATTTAACTTGAGGTTACATCCGCATTCTCAAAATTAGCAAATCAATTTTTTGATTGTGGGCTAATATCATTCTCAGATATAAGATCCTAATAGTCCGAATAGATTTGAAATTTACGGTATGCTTTGAATCTGTTCGAATGAATGCTTTTAAAAGTTTTTTTTAAATGCAAAAGGTGAATCAAAGTTCTGCATATATAGTCCCTGAGACACAATTAAGTTGGCAAAAAGTCTTAACGAGTTATCCTAGTGATTATCAATATGTATTGTTTTTTATTCATCCATTTCTGTGCTTAATTTAATGCACGTATTTAGAATAAAAAGAAACAACTTGTTATAACGTACATTTCTTAACTAATTACTAGTACTTTATTCTATCAAGTAAATTACTGTAACTTAGATAAGTTATTCATTTTTTCTCAATTGAAAGTTTAAACACGACTGTTAAGTCTTAACTTATTTCAGATCATGACAGAAGGAGGTGAATTTAGCATTTCAGTACGAGGCTCCGATGCAGACTTTGAGTACTCCTGTACACCGTTGGCTGACGATGGCAACGATGAACAAGCGTTGAAATACTGTCCGGAGTGTAAAGAATATCTTTGTGCTGCGTGTATAAAATGTCATCTTAAATTTTCTGCAACAAAGAAACACATACTGTATGACAACGAATACCAACACTGTGAGGAAGATTCAGTTGACAACACATCAGATGAGGACCAAATGTTCAAATGTCTCTACCATCCAGACAGGGATATCGAGATGTATTGTTTTGATCATGAAATGGTGTACTGCTTATTATGCGTTGCTAAGGACCACAGGTAACCAACACTCAATTCATTATAATCTGTTTGTATCTTTTTGGACTATCCTCTCATTGTTAATTTCTGTTGGAGAATCGTTATTTTATTCCCTTTGTATTGTTAAACTACATTTTGCACTTCTTATGGAACTTTAGGTGATACTGCGTGTAATATGTTTACTTGTTTTACTATTTTAGACAATGTAGTAGGATACTAGAACTAGAAGATGCAGCTGAAAAGGTACCTATGAATATAGAAGACGATATATTGCAACCAATCGACTCTTTGCAGGCTGATATACATCTGGCAAGACAAATGAAAAAAGTCAATCTGATTGCATTAGACCAGAGCAAAAGTGAAATTCTAAAATCTATTGAAGACACAGAACGTTTGTTCATCGACAAAGTCAAAGAACTTGCATCAGAAGCGAATAAAAATGCTTGTTCTAGATATGATGGTTTGAAAAGAGATGTTCAAGAAGAAGATGCCGTTCTTTTGCAGGGTATAATAGATACTGATGAAGTTAGAAGCAAGGTTAAAAGCCAGGTAGAATTAGATGCAAAAAGACAATTTGCAAGGCACATTTTACAGAAACATGTCATTGTCCAAATGAAGAATAAATATGATACTGCCGACAAAGATGAAAAGAGAATGAGATGTTTTAAGAATGACGAGTTGATACGGCATGTGTTAACAGCTGAGGGTATTGTTCAAGTTGTTGGAAGTAAAAGGAGCCTAAATGTCGAAGACAATCCAGTACACAAACAATCTCAAAAGGAAGTAACCATTAAGGGACAGAAAGACTACGAAACGTGCAGTATCTATGGTATTTGCCAGCTTGGTGACGGTACAATTGTATTAGCTGACAACTCTAATAAATCTCTTAAAAAGCTGGATAAAAATTTCAGAATAACAGAAACACTTGCTTTGGAATCTAACCCTATGGGACTTTGTTTGACAGGCAAATCTGAAGTTGCTGTGAAACTTAAAAATGACACTGTACTGTTTGTTTCAATTGATGACAAATTCATAAAAAGCCATTCAATATATATAAAATATGGGGATTGCATTGGACTAATTTCTATCTGCAACGAATTGTGGTGTGTATTTCCAAATGAGATTATGGTCTATAACAGAGACGGATTGGTAAAAAAAAACTTTCAAAATCGAATCATTTGAAGGAACTAAATTCAAGCCAAGCAGCAGTTATCTTGTCCCAGTTGTAGCTGACAAAGAGTTTATATATGTATCAGATTTAAATAGTCAAGTAGCATGTTTAGACAGGGAAGGAAGCGTATGGTCGATGATGGAAAGTGAACGGCTGAAGGTAGCGAGAAGGGCTTGTATTGCAAGGAATGGTATCATTTGTGTCGCAGGATACGACTCGGGCAATATCATGATGTTCAATGAAAAAGGGAAATGTTTAGGAGAATTGATAGATGGCTTAGATATGCCAGACGCTCTTTTCTACGACAACAAAACCCGTCAACTAATTGTTGGACATAAAAACAAGAATACTATTACAATAATAGATACAGATTGATGATAGCTAGTTAGCTATATGGTAGTGACATGAATGGTGTAGTGATGCTTGGCAATAAAAATAAGAATATATTGCTCATGATGAACTCATAAGGATTGAGGAATAATTACAAATAACACTAAGATTTAACTTAAGCAACGAATGATGTAAAATATACCATAGTATTTTGCGATATAAAATATGATATCTGAAAAATGATGATGTCTGATGTCAAAGACTATAGTACCGTTTCAATTATCGTTTTGTATTTGTAGAGGATTACTAGTATATAGTTATTTGATTGACTTTGAGACTATCAAACTCCCGACAAAGTCCCACCTGGGGAGACAGTCCAGTTAATGTTACACCATCCTCTAAATCGAAACCCATTTATCCGGTAGTGCAAAGACAGATAATGCAATACACGAAATATTATGATGCCATTTCTCCGCATTTTCTTGACGGAATTACCATTGTCTGATACCCACAGTTGATTAACATGTAACTTTACATGTAATCAATAAATGTTAATGGTTCGACCGTATGTATCCGAGTATGCGGGATTAAAAATGTCTATTGATAACTTCTGACCACATTTGGATTTCTTTCCTGCTATGAAACAAATATATAGGGAAGATTTAAAAAATAAAGTTTTCAATAATCTTTTGTCAGATTTTGAATAACCAATTTTAGTGTGATATCTCTTTTGGACTTCTTGTATTCAGGATATATTACCTCACATGTATGTTAGCCAAGCTTGTTTACAAATATGTGTAGTCTGACAACAATTAAACTGTTGTCCATCATTTGTTTTGTATCTACTTGTATCTATAGATCTATTGTATCTAATATTCCTTGGATTGGCGACGGACATTTCCAAATTCAAAGCAAGTACAATCTGTTTTATCACACCATAATAAGGGAAATCACATATTTAGGTTAAATTAGTATAATTTTAGTTGATTACAATATGTTCAATTTTGATTAAAAAAAGAATTGTATAAGTCTCATAAGAAATGTTAGTAAAATCCATGAAATGAAAAATAATATTTTATTTGACGATGATAAAATCTGTTTCAAAAAAGGTGTAAACAGTTTGACATGTTACAAGTCTTTTTGAGTGTATGTTATTTGTGAAATGTTGTAACGAATAAATTATATAAACACTTGCACTGAAATAAGTTTTGTTTAGAAATCATATATGTAATGATTTCTGAATTATTTCGATGTTTTCATAACCTCTGTTCCCCTTCCAAAATTCCATTTTACTTAGTTATGCCATTTGATTTCTCGTTTAGGGCACACACATTCTTTTACTTGGGGGCCATGTGCAGCTGTTTATGGGATGACACAAAAGTGTCACATCGGAGGTTTTATGATCATCGCCGAGAGAACACTCGTGAAAAATTTTCACCATTACATGTTAAAATGTTGAACTCGGTATACTGCTTAAGCTGGTGCTAGTGGGGTTGGGAAGAAGCTTGCAATTACCACTACCGATTATGAACAGGCTCAATCAAACTGAATCATTAATATATTCACTCGTGCGTTTTGGACGTTCTTTTCCCTTTTATGTACCATATATTCTCGTTTAATTAAGGTTCACGTCATCGGGACTGACTGTGTAACTTTAACTCTGTGTTATCAACTCTGTGTTCGTAATCATTAAATCTCGGAAGTCTTTCTATCCAAAACTGTCAAAAATGACAAAGCCTACCTATCAAACTTATATTCTTTCATCCAAATATCAGGATAGGCAAAGGCGACTAAAAGTGATACAGGAATGACTAGAACAGTTCCGCATTATTGAAATGCTTAAATAAATATAATACATACACATTAAACCATATATGTAGATTGCGTTCATGTTCAGACTATTTACCTGTAACCTAGGTTAATTTCTACTAATTAAAATCATTTTTGTAAACACATAAGTCTTAAAGAGTTATATTTATAGATATTACTGGAAATATTTAAACACTGTAATAGCATTTCATATCCCCTATCTTGTAGGAAATGTTCTTTGTACTTTAAACTTTTAAAACCCGTCTTTTTTCTCAATCTGACGGGGTTTTGTCGACCTTGTAAATTTGAAGGCTTCTGTCCTCACCAATTTGATTGGCAGTTTTTGTGAAAGTTTGTGGGATTTATCTAGCTATCATTTTCACATTTCCAAGTTAAAGTTTATAAACTACTCGTAAAACATGTACGTTCACCATTATTTCAAACAGCTCGAGATCTCGCGATTGGTCCAGGTTTTCAAATGCGTAAATTCAATAACCATAAATCCATGTTCGATAAATTACCAATGCAGGAGAGAGTACAAATGATCAGTAAGGTTATTAACTGGCAATTCCCGTACTCTGACGGATTGATTCTACTATATTAATTAAGCCAACATATTGGACTAATTTTGTTCCAATATCAACCCATTATTAGATTTAAATATTGGCCCACTATGTAATTATACAATACACTAAGACAAAATAGTTGATTCATGGGACAAAACAGTTCTACTTCTTGTTACAAATAACATTAGTCAAGTGTTTCATGATGAAGTTTATGTCCATCACTCAGGCATTGGTGTTGAACTTGTCTCTTACAAATGATATAAATCATATACAAGTATAAGACATAGAATATATTAAAATATTAAAATGAGGTTTGCTACCATTTACATGTAGACATACATTGCATTTATTGTTTGGACTGAATAAAAATAATAAAAAAGGTTCTACATAGGACTTACAAAAAAACTTTGCACGATTTTATAATATGATAATTATAATGAAAACATTTTTAGTGAAAACAAAGCAGTTACCGGTCTATAACATTACAAAGCTCAACATCTACACTTCCATTATTTCAAACAGCTCGAGATCTCGCGATTGGTCCAGGTTTTCAAATGCGTAAATTCAATAACCATAAATCCATGTTCGATAAATTACCAATGCAGGAGAGAGTACAAATGATCAGTAAGGTTATTAACTGGCAATTCCCGTACTCTGACGGATTGATTCTACTATATTAATTAAGCCAACATATTGGACTAATTTTGTTCCAATATCAACCCATTATTAGATTTAAATATTGGCCCACTATGTAATTATACAATACACTAAGACAAAATAGTTGATTCATGGGACAAAACAGTTCTACTTCTTGTTACAAATAACATTAGTCAAGTGTTTCATGATGAAGTTTATGTCCATCACTCAGGCATTGGTGTTGAACTTGTCTCTTACAAATGATATAAATCATATACAAGTATAAGACATAGAATATATTAAAATATTAAAATGAGGTTTGCTACCGTTTACATGTAGACATACATTGCATTTATTGTTTGGACTGAATAAAAATAATAAAAAAGGTTCTACATAGGACTTACAAAAAAAACTTTGCACGATTTTATAATATGATAATTATAATGAAAACATTTTTAGTGAAAACAAAGCAGTTACCGGTCTATAACATTACAAAGCTCAACATCTACACTTCCAAAAATAAATTTCATAGAATCATTTCAAGAAGGAAGTAAACAAGATATGTTAAAGTGCATCCACATAGCTGAGATGGAGTTATGAATTTACACAATTTACAAGCCTATAAAATGGAAGCTGGCAGCACATTTTGCTTGATATTAATTAACGCCTCGTTTAACCACAAAACATTACAATATGTGATGAAGTATCAACTATATAGGAGCCCTTCAAACATCATAAACAAATGTCAAGATGAAAAAAAAAACACATTTCCCCCAGCCAATATTAGGCCTAGTCTTTAATAGTTTATGTTTTATATTGAAATGCTTTCGTTAGCGTTATCATCATCATAATTTAAAAACATATCTAAGAAGTAAACCCTTACGAAGGATGTATTGTACTGTAGACTTAAGTCCTTATTGCCTTTCAAACTGGATGGCTGGCTGAGTTATGTTCTAGATTAACTTACTCAAAAGTATGCTGACGTTTGAAATTATAGATCTTATTTATTTGGCCTACTTCAGTTCATAAAAATATAATTGAGACCTTCACCCAGTCTTCATATTCGATTATCTCAAGAGACCGAAAACCGGAGACCGAACACCGTCGTTTAGTAGATTCCTCATATCTGGATTACCTTCCCCTTCATATGTACTCTACCTGTGACAACTATCGAAATCGAAAGTTGTGTTAAAGAGAACATAAAGTAAGCGTTTTTTTTTAAAAATATAATAACACTTTGTTAGCATATTATGACAAAAACCTTACTTAAATATGTAAGTTAAGATTTTGTTTCTTCTTTACAACCTATATATCCCCATTTCTCATTCATTCGTGCCTTCTCATACATTTCGTGCTTACAGAATATACGCTCGTGCGCATCGCGTGCGTATCCGATTACTATGCAAATGTTTTGACAACTTGCAAGCTAGCACTCATCAACAGATAATGAGAAAAAAACAGGTATAAATCCATGAATATATTGCTAAATCGTGTCCATACTTCTGCTATTAAACACAAAAAACTCACTTTTTATTCATAATTTGCAAAGAAATCCAACTTTTTCGTAAAATTTTCCTGTTTCATATTTGCCGGCGTCCATTTTTTTCATGTCACGTGACGAAATTTCCTTTGCTCCGTGTTAGATTTATCATTATATACTATTCTTAAAAAGTGACACGACAAAATATAATGACCAATTAACATTCAATTAACATTTGCAATTTGTTTAATTATATCTTTGTGGTGTGCATCCTTTTGTTCTAGGGAGCAAATTAATTTATATCTACACACACAGGAACAAAATAAGCTATAAATCAAGGCTTTTAGAATCAAAATATTTAGGTCAAATGTTGCTATATTGCATAGAAGGTCAGATACTCTTATTAGTTTACTTACCTTGTTAGAAGAAATCAGAAAACAACATTAAAAATGTTCATTAACACTAGTATGGATATGATTTTTAAAAGGCTGTTGTTCTTTAGCAAGACACACCACTGACACAAGTTTTATGATTATATGCCAGTAAATGGACACTTTTTAAATTGAACTTAGTATACTGACCTTGGGGTTAAATAATACACCGTAACACGGAGGACCAATCAAAAAGCACGAAATGAATGAGAAAGCGTTTGATAGATTCAGATGGTCAAGGTCGTCATAAAAAGGTAAGATACTAAAAATAGATAATTGTTTTTCATGTTTATTGAATTTAAATAACAAAAATGAGAGTTGAGTATACATGATTGACCAAAAATTACTTTCATGTAATAAACATTTACTGCGCATGCGCTGATTTACCGCTTAAGAGGCACGAATGTATGAGAAAAGGGCATAGATTAAAGCAATACTAAATTCTTGCAAAGAAAGTTAATTCATTAAAAGAATAAAATTACTGCCAGTAATAGTTCATAGACGAAGCGGCAATAGACAAAAGTTACTAGGAAGAATAGTACGTTTATGTCATATTATAAAGATAGGCGACATTAGGTATACCCCCACCACAAAATGTGGTGTGTGTGTGTGTGTGGGGGGGGGTGGGGGGGGGCTATAATGGATTCGCTTTGTTGAAGGATTTTCTTCAAACTTGGCTCAAATGTTCACCTCAACAAAGGGATGTGCAGAACCCATGTTGCCCATGTGTCAGCTCAAGGTCAAGGTCACAATTGAAGGTCAAATTTCAAACAATCAAATATTACACAGTTTGTCGTGTCCGCTCTGTAAGTCCTACACTAATTGGAAATGTCACCCTTTTGCCAGCTCATGGTCAAGGTCACACTTGAAGGTCAAGAAACTTAAAATATATATGAAGTGTCACAATTAAGATATGCTGGTCAAGTTTCATAACTCTGTATTGCATTTTAACAAAGTTATGCCCCTTTTTCAGTCTTCAAATTTACATACAATCAAATATTAGACAATATTTTTTTATGTCGTGTCCGATATATAAATCCTATACTAATGGAAGGATTTTCTTCAAACTTTACTCAAATGTTCACCTCAACAATGTTATGTGCAGAATCCATGTCACCTTTGTGCCGGCTTAAGGTCAAGGTCACACTTGAAGGTCAAAAATTGGCTTAGAAAATGTTCTTAAATTTTATCATGTACTTGAAAATTACTGAAACTAGCACAGGTATTTGCTTGAAACTTAAAAGATATATGAGGTGTCACAAATAAGATATGCAGGTCAAGTTTAATAACTTTGTATTGCATTTGGACAAAGTTATGTCCCTTTTTAAGTCTTTAAATTTACATACAATCAATACGTGTTATGTCCGCTCTATAAATTCTATACTAATGGAAGGATTTTCTTCATGTTCACCTCAACTGGGCGATGTGCAGAACCAATCTAACCCTTGTGCCAGGCTAAGGCAAAGGCCACACTTGAAGGTCAAAAATTGACTTATAAAATGTTTAGTACATTGGGAAAATGAAAGGTTATTTGTAACTGTTTCGAACATGATTTGAATAAATATTTATACTATTAGCTGTACAATTAGTCTTTTTTCACCTGAGATAATTTCTTTTTATGTATTTGTGCCACTTATAAGTTATTCCCTTAACCACCTTTCCAAGTTGTCTTCTGTCAAGGACATTGTTGGGGTATGAATCGCATTCAGCGATAGTTCTAGTTAATTAATGTTTAAATCGTTTGCAAATTTAAACCATCATATAAAGTGTTACCTCTCAATTATACCAGATGGCAGAAGGAGGTGAACATAGCATTTCAGTGCGAGGCTCTGATGCAGACTTTGAGTACTTGTGTACACCATGCGCTGACGATGGCAACGATGAACAGGCGTTGAAGTACTGTCCGGAGTGTAAAGAATATCTTTGTGCTGCGTGTATAAAATGTCATCTTAAATTTTCTGCAACGAAGAAACACACGCTGTATGACAACGAATACCAACATTATGAGGGAGATTCAGTTGATACCACATCAGACGAGGAACATGGGTTTAAATGTGTCTTCCATCCAGACAGGGATATCGAGATTTACTGTGGTGATCATGACATGGTGTACTGTGCTCTATGTGTTGCTAAAGAACACAGGTAATCATTTATTTTACATATACGTTTTTTAATCCATATATTACAATTCACCAATGTCCTCAGAGTTTGTTTTTTTTAATTTTTCTTGACAATGATTAAAAAAAAATATTTCGGCATTACTCTTGATTATTAACTGTTTTTGCAATGCTATTTCTCGTGTTTTGCGTAACTTCTTTTTTTTCACTCGAAACAAAATGCATTTTGTTTACTATTTTAGACAATGTAGTGGAATTCTAGAGCTCGAAGAAGCAGCCGATAAAATTCCTGTAAACAAGCAAGAGAACATATTGCACCAGATTGACTGTTTGCAAGTTAAAATACAAGTAAGTAGGCAGAAGAAAGAAGTCAATCTGATTGCTCTAGATCAGGACAAAAATGATATTCTAAAAACCATTGAAGACGTAGAACGTATGATGATTAACAAAGTCAAGGCTTTAGCATCAGACGCGAAAGCAAACACTTGCACTAGATATGATAGTCTGAAAAAGGACATTCAAGATGAAGATTTAGTACTTTTGCGTGCTATAACTGATACTGTTGAATTAAGAAAGAAATTGGAAACCCAAGCTGATTTAGATGCAAAATGGCAATTTACAAGGTACATTTTACATAGATATATCATTGCCAAAGCAGAGAATATGCATGATCGGGTAGAAAAAGATGAAAAGAAAATGAAATGTTTCAAAAATGATGAGCTCATACAAAAAGTATCAACAGCTGATTGCCTTGTTCAAGTTGTTGGAAGTAAAATTAGCGTAAAAAACAATGACAAGCCAATTCACCAAAAGTCACGGAAAGAAGTAATTATAAAAGGAAATGGAGACATTGAGACATGTAGTATATACGGAATTTGTCAGCTTACAGATGAAACAATAGTATTAGCTGATCACACTAATAAGAAACTTAAACGTTTGGATAAAGACTTCAGTATCATAGACAGTCTCAAATTGGAATCGAATCCTGTAAGCCTTTGTTTGACAGGCAAAACTGAGGTTGCTGTTAAACTGAAAAATGACACCATACAGTTTATTTCCATTACCGACAAATTCATTGAAAAACAGTTGATAAATTTAGAAGGTGGATACCATATTGGGCTTATTTTTAATTGTAACGAACTTTGGAGCTATTCTGGGACAGGCATTAATGCCTGTAACAGAGAAGGATTAATTATAAAATCTTTCAATAAAAATTCATTCGAAGGAACACTTTTCAATCCTCTTGGGAAACATCTTATTCCTATTGCAGCAGACAAAGAGTTTATATACATATCTGATTTGAAAAGTCAAGTAGCATGTATAGACAGGGAAGGAAACGTATGGTCGGTTATTAAAGCTGAGAGACTAGAGTTGATAACAAGGGCTTGTTTTGCACCGAATGGTATCATGTTTCTCGCAGGGTATACATCGGGAAATATAATGATTCTCAATGAAAAAGGAAAATGTTTAGGAGAATTGGTAGACGGCTTAATCAATCCAGACTCTCTCTGTTATGACAACAAGAACCATCAACTCATTATTGGACACAAAAACAAAGATATTTTAACAATAATAACAACAGATGAATGTTTATAAAAATATTAGTGTGAGCAAACGAATTTTGATCTGAAAAAAGAAACATGAAAAGAAAATTATTGAATCAAACCCTTAGAAAAATAAGTATACACGGATTATAATCTGACACAATATAAAATATTGCACTTAAAAAGATGATTGCGCCAATGATTTAACCTGCTAGAACCGAAAATGATAAGTCTTAGTAATTAATTTAGAGGCAGGCGATATACTATTGGCAGCAAAATACTGTGGATTGAACATGAAATATCTTGAATTTGTAATGGTCAATTCCATATTCAAAGCAAAGCTGATCTATTGCACAAAACCAGCAGATTAACGGCTATAATGGGAGAAACATTGTTAAATTTCTGTGATGATTAATTGTATATGGTTTTAAAAAGCTATGTGCAACGTGCAAAGAGGACTTGTGTAATCATTTTGTTTTCCCGATACCCAGCTTATTGAGAATAGTGGGGGCATTGAGGTTGAGATCAATAATGAAAACAACAAACAATTTTATTTATATTTACAGGGCAGTTCGGAGACAACAAGAATGTAAAAAAAACATGGATGCTTTTCCCCAGTTATATACCTGTTACTGAATAATTATTTTTCCTTTCTTTCATGTCACAAAACATTTTAATTATGTCATTGTCGATCAGGATATAGAGAGGGCAATGTCATCGTTGTTCTGTGATAAATTTGATGTCACATATAAAATATTTCCTAGTATGTAAGGTCAGATGATTAAAAGGCAAATTTAATATCCAGAAAATATTTGAACGAGAGTACCATACAATCATAAAATCATAATTTTTATTTTGAATGAATTGTTATGAGATTGTTTTAGTATTTTTGAAATGTTGACTGTAATAAGTCTTTATTTTAAGGTTTGATTTAACAATTAACTTTATTGTGTAACTATTTTGTGTAAAGTAGTATCAACTTTTTACATGTTTTGTTAACAATCCTATATATGTACCCATCAGTTACTTGCACCTGTTTTTATGCTCCCCGAAAAATTTCGGGGGAGCATATAGTCGGCGCCTTGTCCGTCTGTCCGTCTGTCCGTCTGTCCGTCCGTCCGTCTGTCCGTCCGTTGTCTTGTCCGGAGCATAACTTGAAAACCCTTGGAGATAATTTGTTGAAACTTCATACAGTGGTAGAGGGCATCGAGGGGGAGTGCAGTGTCAAAGAACCATAACTCTATTTTGCCCGGTTTTTGAATTATCTCCCCTTATAGAAAAATCTTGTCCGGGGCATAACTCTAAAACTATAAGAGATATCAACATGAAACTTTGTAGGTGAATAGATCTCAATGGGTAGATGTGCAGTGCATAAGAACAATAACTCTTTTCATCCTAATTTTGGAGTTATTGCCCTTTGTTAATTTTAATACTTTGAACTTTGTCCGGAACATAACTTGAAAACCCTTGGAGATAATTTGTTGAAACTTCATACAGTGGTAGAGGGCATTGAGGGGGGGTGCAGTGTCAAAGAACCATAACTCTATTTTGCCTGGTTTTTGAATTATCTCCCCTTATAGAAAAATCTTGTCCGGGGCATAACTCTAAAACTATTAGAGATATCAACATGAAACTTTGTAGGTGAATAGATCTCAATGCGTAGATGTGCAGTGCATAAGAACAATAACTCTTTTTGTCCTAATTTTGGAGTTATTGCCCTTTGTTTATTTTAATACTTTGAACTTGAACTTTGTCCGGAACATAACTTGAAAACCCTTGGAGATAATTTGTTGAAACTGCATACAGTGGTAGAGGGCATCAAGGGGGAGTGCAGTGTCAAAGAACCATAACTCTATTTTGCCTGGTTTTTGAATTATCTCCCCTTATAGAAAAATCTTGTCTGGGGCATAACTCTAAAACTATAAGAGATATCAACATGAAACATTGTAGGTAGATAGATCTCATTGAGTAGAGGTGCAGTGCAAAAGAACCATAACTCTGTTAAGCCTTATTTTTGAATAATCTCCCCTTTTAGAAAAATCTTATCCAGGACATAGTTGTAAAACTATAAGAGATATCAACATGAAACTTTGTAGGTAGATAAATCTCAATGGGTAGATGTGCAGTGCACAAGAATCATAACTCTACCTTGCCTAATTCTGGAGTTATTGCCCTTTGTTTATTTTTACTTTTTGAATTGTCCAGGACATAACTCGGAAATCATAAGAGATATCATCAAGAAACTTTGTAGGTTGATAGATCACATTGATTAAAGTGCAGTGCAAAGAACTGTAACTCTGCCTTGCCTAATTTTAGAATTATTGCACTTTGAACTTTTTCCACGGACATAACTCTGAAACTACAAGAGGTGTACTTTCCTGTGTCCAAAACCTATTCGGGGAGCATCACCCGGCTCAAACCGGGCTCTTGTTATCGTTCTGTAATTAAATGCATATAATTATGTTTATACTTTATCATTCTTATACTGCACTATATTTGTTTAAACAAAGACGGAGTGAAGCCAGCTTTAATTTGATATGGCAAAATTTTGGTATCAGTATTCAACTTGAAATAGTGCATACCTATAGTTCAACGAAGATAATCTATCTAAACATCAACAAAATCCGAAAAAACCCTGCAAAATTTGACCTGATAAAACCCAATATCAGCAAAATCATTCATCATGTGCAGTTAATTACAGAAAAACACCACTTCCAGAGCCTCAATGCCCCGAGGACCTTCTCATTAAGACCTTAATTTAATGCGTAAGGTATGCACACACGATTCAGTACCGATACATTTCGGTCCAGAAGGGAGCTCAAGTTACAAATTAAGTACTAGTAATTTTCTGGTACTTATTCCACTCATATTCATACATGTATATTGACATTCTTCCGGGTCTGATGGAAACCGGAAACCGGAGACTGTCTTTTAGTAGGACCTTAATCTTGAGGATTTCAGGACTTTACATCTCCGGGACGTTTCGGCTACTTTTTTTAAAAAATATATATAGTATTGTACACTGTATGGATTAATCTCATTGAACTTGTTGACATACCTTAGTTGTAACACCTTAATTGGATTATATTGAGTGATAATTGCGATAACTCAATATCATATAAATTTGCATGATAGATATTGAGAGAATATTTGTTTTTAGGAAATTTTATTTAAAAAATGACATTCTTGTTCAAATAAAATTTACCAAATATGTATCGATGTATGAAAAACAGATTAAAACAGAATGATCAGATTACTAAATTTTATTCAGGGTCATACTATATCTACAATGCATACACTATAGAATAAAATAACATTAAAATAAAACACTGTAATTTTCATCATATAATTTCATTTCCTTTTTTAAAATAAATAATACACGCCTACTAAACGGTGGCTCTTTCACATTTTGGTGACCTGTTTAAATGAGAGCAATCGACACTTCCGTTGCAGAGCCCTCGCTGAAAACAAGGCTAAAAAAGGTAAGACATTTTAGTAAAAACATCAATTTAAAAAGATCATGCTTGTTTTTCAAAAATCGAAGAATGTAATGCCATGTAGAACATTTTTCTCATCATTTTGGGTGCAGTTTCGATAAGAAATACCTTGAAATGTGATCGAGCCATCGACAAGGTGCTGGCGCCATCGGCAATGTGAATGAGCCCTCGAAAATGTGATGGAGCCAACACTATCATTCTTTTTGTTATAATATGATGAAGTGTTACCGTTATGATACCACGATTGAAGAATGCAATAGTTCATTCTGCACAAAGACAGGACGGACCACATACGGAAAAAACCTCTGGACTACAGAACTGTTTGGTACAATAGTTGAATGTGTGGTTCTTCTTTTTACTTTTTTCGCATCTTTGGAGGTGTCGTTTTAAGTTGTGTTTATAAGCAAATATTTTCTCATACTTCTCACAATTCAGCTTATTGACATTGTGTTTTTCCGTATGCGGTCTTTCTCTGTGTAGAATGAACTATTGCCTTTTTCAATCGTGCACACAAGTTCCCCTTTCTGTGTATTTACACGTTCAACGTGCCTTTTAAAAGAAGATGGTGTTGCGTATCGCCCATCACATATACCACATAATGTACTGGTCGCCGCCTGCTCATGTGAGTTTTTATATGGAATTTAACCCTGGCCTTATTGGCGTAAGTCTTTCCATACACATCACATGGAAATCTTTTTTGTATCCCCTTATTCATGTCGAGATTCCACCTGAAATTTACATAAATTTCAAAATTAAAACTGAAACTTTAACGACTAAAATTAAAAAAAAAACTATTTGTGTGTGCCTAATTTGTTAATATTTGATACAAAGAGGTTTTAGTTCAATTTTAATGAATTCGTATAATCAAATCGCGTATTTTAGTTCAATATGTCAACCCAGTGATTCGATGCAATGAAATTGAATAATTATGTTAATCAGTTAAGTATAATAACGGTAACACTCCATCATATTATCACAAAATAAATGCTAGTGTTGGCTCTATCGCATTTTCGAGGGCTCTTTCACATTGCCGATGGCGCCAGCACCTTGTCGATGGCTCGATCACAATTATAAAAACTGTGATTATTTGGTTTTTCAAGTAAGTTCTGCAAGTTATTTCTTGTGTTGGTCCAAAGAGGAGGTTTGGACAATGCTATATGCACGATTATGTGAGCAAGCATCTACTTTACTGTAGGAAAATCACTCAAAATGTGTTTCCTCGAAATAGAAAACCCACGATGTTATATTTAGTAAAAGTTCTAGCAATGTCATTTCAGGATTTTTCTTATCGAAACTGCACCCAAAATGATAAGAAAAATGTTCTACGTGGCATGACATTCTTTTTTTTCGATTTTGGAAAACAAACATGTTCTTTTTAAATTGATATTTTTACTAAAATGTCTTACCTTTTTCAGCCTTGATTTCATCGAGGGCTCTGCAACGGAAGTGTCGATGGCTCTCATTTAAACAGATCACCAAAATGTTAAAGAGCCACTGTTTAGTAGGCGTGTAATAAGAAAATAGAAATGGTATCATATTTTATTCTAAATATTCAACTATCATTTTGTCATCTTCAGTTGTTTGTCTTTTTTATTCATTAAAATAAATCTATTACAAAAACTTGCAAAAAATGCTTTAAAAAATCAAGCTAGAATGAATTTATTACCAATTATTTCAAATTAAATATATTATTATTTAATAGAAAAATACTCTCTTGTAAAAAAAGTTAAAATATTAAAAAGCATGTGAGTAAATAAAATGTACTAACATTTATTTTTCTTTTTTATAATACTGTGTGTATTATACAAAATATTAAAAATCTATAATAATATAAAACAATTCGGACTAATCACTATGATTACTATAATACAATATGTACACTGTACACTTTCACTAGTTAAACCTTGCAATTAAGATTTCATTTGTTTTTTTCACTGTTTTCACTGAAGTGACTATTTGTCAACTCTTTACACTAAAATTCACACAGAATACAATACTCAGCAATTCCATATTAATTTGAAATAGCACCCAATAGTTTATAGGTACTTTGATCTGACCAATCATTAAATTTTCAGCAATTTGTTACAGTGAACTATCAGTTACACACTTCTAAAGGTGCTTATATAGTAATTAATTAACCAGTGTTTATAATGCTTTATTCAAAATTCTTTCACACTTCTAATTGTTCTTATGATTACCTGTTATATAAAAATATATTTTAATTAATCAATATCTTTTTATGGTATAATTTTTGCATAACAAAAAAAATGAATAAATATATACATGTAGACTTATAGCTGATAATTCTTTCAGAACTCATATAAAATATCATATTTATAATTATTTTTCCAGGGAAATTTCACTATATTTATGACAAAAAAAAATCTTCTTTATATCATGAATGTAATTGTTTGCAAGTATGTGTTATATTATATATAAAATTATAACCCATAATGGTATTTATTTCATATATTTATCAAATTTAAAAAAAAAAGGTGCCGTAAAGACCAGGGTTTTGAGAGTGAAACGTCTAGGGCCGAAACGTCCAGGACGTGTAAAGTCCAAACATCATCTTGAAAACATTTGAGCACCACACTAAATACCGTATTCCGGTATATACCGGGCACGGCGCTTGAATCATAAAATGCTAAAATCTTGCCTTTTTACTTAACGGAATGAACTTTAAAGCTGCACGCCTCCAGATGGGCTAAACTATTTTAAGAGAATCAATATTGAGAAAAATGCACTAAACTTTTAAGAAAGATAAAAAATATTCAAGATCCAAGTTATATTTAACATGTTATGTGCGGTTTAAAACTGACTTTGCAGTATTTTATCACCATATTTTTACTGCGTTACTCACGCAGTAAGGGCTGTTTTGCATATTTTGACCACTTTTTGTTCATTTTCGTGGATTGTAAGTGCCGATTGCAATTTATAAATTACTTAATTTGTTCACCTCACAATATTTTACTTTTAAATAATTTCCAAAATGTTCATGAAAATTAACATGAATCTGAAGGCGTGCTGCTTTAATAGGTCTAATTCATCTTTTCACACCGATTTATATATGATAATGAATGAAAAATGTAAAAATCGGCGAAAAAAAACGATATTTGTCTATTTTGTGATCTTGATAATGATTACTAGACAGGACTGATTTTGAGAATTTGGCTCTCTATAAGATGCTAGAGGCATTTTGTAGTACAAGTGGTATCTTGGTGTATATTTACCTATTTAAGGTATGCTGAATCCGATAAAGGTGGATACCAAATTGAAAAACTTGATCTTGACCATGGAAATGGCCATCTAAAATAACCACTTAAATGGCCGCCAAATTTCTTTATTATAAATGGATGATATATCAAAGAAAGGAAAAACCTGAAATTTGTCACAAAGCATGTTTAGGAAAAACAAATTAGACACCAAAACAGAATTAAAAGCACAAAACAATCCAATATGGCCGAAAAATCCAAGATGGCAAACATTTTTCTATAGGCTAATATAATAGTAATATATAGAAGTAATATTAAAGATTGTACTGAAAATTTTAAGGCATTTAAACATATTTAGGGTTTACGCAGCGAACACTATACACTCTTTCCTGCTAGATTTTATCTGGCACTCTATGCAAGCATATAGAGTGGCTACTCGGATGCCTTCAGCGTTAAGATGTGTGAGGGGGTTAAAACGTGTGCATGCAAAAATTAATTAAAATTAAAAATTAATTGCATCATATTGTATCATAGTTTTAATGACCTATTTTAGTATTTTTAAGCGGCCATTTTGAATTGACCTTTTGAAGGACAAGGTCAATTTTATTTTCTTGGTATCCTTAGCATACCCATATTAGATTAAAACTTTCAAGATATAACTTGTACGATAAAATGCCTCTAGCATTCATATTTTCTTAAAATCAGTCCTGTCTATACTGCAAGCGTCTAGAGGTACTGCTCCAATCATGTATTGAGTTAAATCCAATCTTTTGAGTACGTCCGCTTTAGTGGAAAATATTCGAAAGAAGGACACAAAAAAGAGACGAGAGTAGATCTAAGTTTTTTTTCAATTACTGTAATTATGTTATATTCCTTTAATTCTTGACTATCATTTGCAAGTGTAATTTGAAGTTTACAGCTGTGATATTGACAAATTAATGCTAGCTTTACTTGTTAAAAAATAGCTTTACTTGACGTCAACGACGTCACTTGGAGACGACGTGATCTTTATCTTATATGGTAATCAGATCAGTTGAATAAACTTTATAATCATGAATTAGAGTTGATAAGTAGAAGACATAACAACAGCCTTATTTTGCATGATATTTACTGAACAGTCGAATGACTATAAAGTGTAAATATAAACAACAGTAACATGTCAACTGAAGATCTAATGGAACATTCGTGGTAATTTTGATATACATCTCTATTCACTGCAATCACGTTGTTACGCTGAGATACACTAGTATATATATGATATACTTGTAGATAATCATATGAAAATTGAATTACAACAGTTACAAATCAAAAGATTGTGTAAGGCCTAAAGGGGGAGGGGCATGGTTATGTTATCGATGTCAGGTCAACTCGTCCCGTGGTTAACTCGTCCCGTGTTCAACTCATCACCTATTTGATCAACTCGTCCCCTACGTTTGGTCAACTCGTCCTCAACGAGTTAACTCGTCCCCTTCTTTTTGTCAACTTGTCACTAAATCTTTCTGTTGTAATAGAATCGAAATGGATTGAGCCGTGTCACGACAAAACCAACATAATGGGTTTGCGAATAGCATGGATCCTGATCAGACTGCGCTAAAGCTACATTTAATTTATTTCACAAAAAAAAGAAATAGCTACATTTAGTTAATTATTATAATCAAATATGTTTTATATCGACCCCCGTTCTTATTTTGGTGTCCAGACAACCAAAATGAGATTTATAAGCCATCAATTCTACAACCTCATTGTGGCGAATTCTATTTGCATGAGAAACTCCGCCTTTTGGTCATCCGTACATCAATAGAAAATCAACAAACATATTTAAGTAGCAGTCCGAATTTAAAGGTATATTTCCGCATTATGTTACGCATGTTTTCATACAAATTCACTCTTTTTTATGAGATGATCACTTTTTAGCTCGACTATTCGATAAGAATAAGAAGAGCTATTGTAGTCACCCGAGCGTCGGCGTCGGCGTAACCACTTCTGTTAAAGTTTTTGTAATACCTCAAATGTGACATATGGCTTTGAAACTTTGCACACTTGTTCACCATCATGACCTTAACCTATAGACAGGAGGAGGTAATTATATCAAGCATTTTGACAGAATTATGCCCCTTTTTTCGACTTAGAATTTACGTTAAATGTTTTGTAATACAATGTACCTCAAATATTTTCAAAGTCCATTGACATATGGCTTTGAAACTTTGTGCACTTGTTCACCACCATGCCCCCAACCTGTAGACAAAAGAAGGCAACTGTATCAAGCATTTTGACATAAATATGCCCCTTTTTCGACTTAGAAATTACATTTAAGTTTGGATACCACGTCAGATATTTTCATATTCTATTGACATCTGGATTTGAAACAACAACTCTTCTTTGAGAGCATAATAGGACTCTCTACAAGGCCTATAACTGTAACATGGATGAAAATGAAAATTTTTGCCCTTTGTTAACTTAGAAAATTTTACATTATCAAGGCTTTTATACTATCAAGCACTAAGAATAGTCGAGCGTTGCTGTCCTACCGACATCTCTTGTTTGTAAACGACAGGGCTAAAGCACCGTGAAACTAAAACGGTAAAAGTTCGTTTGCACAAGAATATCTCATATTTGCTGTGATACAAATTGTTACAATTGATTTTACCATTGTGACGTAGCGCATACACGAGCTAATTATACAATTCTTCATTTGCATGTTATGATTCGTATACGAACTTTAGTGTTACCGCGGGGTTTTCCTTTTTTTAAAATCATAACTCATGAACAATTTTAATGAGATTTACAACAATACAGTCAAGAATGTTAACGAAACTATAGAATGATTGGGTTTTAAGCCGACGGAAAAATATGTTTGCATATTTTATTTAATGTTGCTTTAAAAGAAATCATACAATAATATTTGCAGCGCATATATAGCGTAATACACTATACAACTGTTTGTTAACATTTAAAAAAAAACATTATCAAATATCCAAATATCAGGAAATCATTAGATGTAAAGCTTTTTATTATATACTTATAGATGAAATATTGAGAAATATTGATGAAATAAAATGCGTATTTTCATTTTCCGTATTTTCAGTGTAAAAATTTATTTTTCACTGTGGTGAAATATATTTTCCGTATTTTCACTGATGTCTTGTTTAAAATTCTGTCAGTACACAAAATTTAAGTGAAAGTCTTTCAAATTGTAATGTCAAAAAAGAGGAAAATGTATATAATAAACAGAAAATTCAAGTTTTTTCTGTAACCACATGATTTATTTTCATCTTGTGGCATGAAAATTAACATATTTCACTCGTGGCTACCGCCACTCTTGAAACATTTATTTTCATACCACTCGATGAAAATAAATCATGTATTTACAGAAAAATCTTGAACATCCTCTATGTATTGATTCTCACGCGAGTAGCTGTATAATACAAATCAAAATTTAATTAACGAGTTCCAGATTTTGTTATTGTTGTTGTTTTTTATTTATATTTAACCCTTTACCTCATATATACGCGAACCAACGCACTTTCGACCCCCCCTCTTTTAGGCCTCAAATGGTGAAAAAATGTCCTATTTAAGCCTCAAATACATGTTTTCGTTTGAGAAATGTTGCTAAAAAAAGTGAGCACTTTTTCGGCGCCGCCCCTCATCCAAAAGGTACATCAGGGTGTTGCCAGAAGGGGGATGTGTCCCCTTCTGTTTGGGGGGGGATTGAAGGGGGGGGGGGGCGGTAGTCCCCCTCATCGCCACGAAAATTTTGGACTTGTGAGAGGCTAAAAATGACCCCAGATCGATCATAAGGTAACGTGTAACCAATGCTGAAAAGCCTCTGACTCTATCTCAATCCCTTGAGAAGTTGCAGTACTTTGAAATAAATTTTGATGGCAAAAATCGAGGCAAAATAGTGATTTTTGACAATTTTGAGACGTCCCCTCGTTGCCATAGTAACAGGAAATTTAAGACTGAGCATGTCGTTACAAAAGCAATGGTCCGCCAAGTTTGATTAGTATTGAAGTATTTTTCATAGTTTCATGTAACAGAAAGGCTTTTCAATGAAAACGGCCGTTTTTCACAAAATGCTCATGAGGGAAAGGGTTAAATACTAGTATTATTAAAGTACTGTATGGACAACATTAGGGACCTTCAAATTCCATAATTGCTGAATATAATATTTTATTCATAATTTAAAACGTAATGACTTAATTGTTTGTTTAATTTGTGATTTGAGTTTTTGAAATATCAAAATGGGAAGTTTATAAACATGAAGAAGTCAACGTCAATCATTGATTTGAGTAGCTTATTAAAGAACAACACGATGTAAATCATTTTTATCATGGATAAGTTAAAACAAATCGATTTGCTGCCATTCCGTGTCATACACAATATGTATCACAATTATTGACAACTTTGACATTTTAAAGACCTAACGTTATGTATGTTTTTTTTATAACCAAAAATAACAAAATTAAATAATTCAGAAAACAATTATCAGAGCTATTTCTTTATCACAGTCTTTACCATATATTTGTGATTGAATTAAAGCAAAATGATAACAATTATACAAGAAGCAGTCACAGACAGCAAATTTCCTCCACAAGCAAAGAGGCATTCATATTTAAATACATATAAAAGGGGAAGTAACCCATACTATAAAAAGCAGGGTTATGCAATAACAAAATTGTTTGTTCTACCAAAATATGGAAAAACTGTGATTTCAACCAACATATATGATTCTTTCTATTACTTTTCGGCGGGGGAAAGGTGGTAGTCTTTGTCTGTCCTTCCGAACCATATTTTTCGGAGCATAGCTGGAATAAATATTTGAGTTATCAAAGCTGGATATATACAGTGAGGAGGAATGCAATGCACAATAATAACACTTCACCTCATCACTTTAAAGTAAATGTCCTTTGTTCAGTTTTTATACGCCCGAAAGAATTTAGGCGTATATAGATATGCACCTGGTTGACTGTCCGTCCGTTCGTTTGCCCGAACAAACTTATAGATACTTAGGTGGCTATGGGAATAATAGGTAACAGTAAATTTCCTTTGATGCTATTCATTCAGTAAGCTCTTATTTGACTACTTTTTCTCATACGTGGCCTAAAGAACAATGGAGATAACAAAAGAGTGGCCACTTAAGTACCAAACTTTAAGAACGTCCGTCCGTCCGTCTGTTAGCAGGTTTTTGTGTCTGGTCTGTATGTTTTGAACTGGTTGAAGGAAATTGAAACTACACGGCAGAAATGTTAATCATAAGGAGACGATGTGCGGAGCGCAGGTTCAATCTTTCTTGGGTCAAGGTCAAGGTCACACTCAGTCATTTTGTATAAATATTAAAATTGTGTGTCCGCTCTGTATCTTTTGAACCGATTGAAAGAAATTAAAACTTTTTGGCAGAAATAATACTTATATTACGTCAGTGTGCAGAACACAAGTTGGGCTTCCTAAGATCAAAGTTGGCCCCGCCAAGGGGATTAATTAATTTATATAGACTTGTATAGGAGTTTTCGTGTCCGGTCTGTATCTTTTAAACCGATGGAAGGAAATTAAAATTACTTGACCATAATGAGAAGAGGTGCAGAGCGCAGGTCTGACCTTTCTCAGGCCAAGGTCAGACTTATTTTGTATCAATATCAAATTTTTGTTCTCTCCTTTGTTTTTTGTAAACCGATAGTAGGAAATTTAAACTATCTTGTCTGAAGGGAAACAACTTATATTGGAAAGTCTTTTGTGACATGTTATGCAATTTTTATTTAAAAAGATTCATTGGCTGGGGAAAAGTATAAAGGTCATGACCTCTAGCAAGGTAAATGTTTGCTTTTCAGGGATATTTATGAAATGATTAAAGGTCATGGACTGCAGCAAGAGGTATATACTGGGATACTTTAAAACCGTTTGAGCACATTATAAGGACATTAAAATTCACACCATGTATATAATGATGATTTTAAATTGTAAAATTTAAATGTTTATAGAAATTGGTAATGATTAATTAAAAAGATACTATTTATGGAAAAGTAACAGTACCTGCATTTCAAAGTTTAGTAAAGCTATGTAATACAGTAAATACATAACTTTTTCAGGTACAATTTTAACAAATTCCTTTATTTTTGAATCAATTATTGCACTATGTATGGCCTTTGTATTTTAACATCAGATACATCTGCATATCTGCACATTCTCTTTCATGACTTGCTGAAATATGACCTTGACCCCCAAATTCACGAGACACTACTGCCTTATGGCAATGTTCAGTGGCATTAAAAATGTGTTTAAAACCGTTGTATATGAGGCACAACAGTCACTGTGCTGGAATGAAAAGCAAATGGGTTTTACAGTGTACCTTTTAGCTCACCTGTCACAAAGTGACAAGATGAACTTTTGTGATCGCTTTTCGTCCGGCGTCCGTCCGTCCGTAAACTTTTACTTTAACCAACATCTCATAAACCACTATACCAATTTCATCCAAACTTCACAGGAATGTTAATTTGGTGGTCACCTTTAAAAATTGTTCAAAGAATTTAATTCCATGCAGAACTCTGGTTGCCATGGCAACCGAAAGAAAAAAAAGAAAGAAAAAACCCAAAGAGCTTAGATATTTGGCGTGAAACATCTTCTAGTGAGTGTCTACCAAGTTTGTTCAAATAAAAGCCCTTGGCTCAAAATTGGCTACGCTCCAGGGGGTCATTATTTTCCCTATATGTATATAGTAAAAACTTAAAAAATCATCTTTTAAAAAAACCAAAGAGCTAGAGCTAAGATATTTTGCATGAAACATCTTCTAATGGGTGTCTACCAAGTTTGTTCAAATAAAAGCCCGGAGGTCAAAATTGGCCCCGTCCCGGGTGGGTGGGGGTGGTGGGTCATTGATTTTCCTTATATATAAGAAAAATCAATGACCCCCGATATATATATATATGTGTATAGTAAAAACTTAAAAATGTTCTTTTGAAAAACTTAAAGAGCTAGAGTTTAGAAAATCTTCTTTTAAAAAAAACTCCAAAGAGCTAGAGCGTAGATATTTAGCATGAATCATCTTCTAATGGTAGTCTACCAAGTTCAAATAAAAGCCTTGGGGTTAAAATTGGCCAGGCCCCGGGGGTTATTGCTTTTCCTTTTATGTGTATAGAAAAAAAACTTAAACAATCTTCTTTTAAAAAAACTCAACAAGCTAGATCTTAGATATTTAGCATGGAACATTTTCTAGTGAGTGTCTACCAAGTTAGTTCAAATAAAAGCCATGGGGTCAAAATTGGCCCGGCTCTAGTGGGTCATTAATTTCTTTATTTGTATATATTAAAAACAAATGTTTTTACACATGCACTTTTTCAAATGCACATGTGAACTTTGTGATATCATTTAACATTTAGATTTTATATCTGCTTTTGTTTATAGTTTACAATTTATTTGTTCCTTGTCATGGAGAGTTTCTATATAAAGTTGAGCAATTTCAGGGCCATCATGGCCCTCTTGTTTCATTTTATACAGGTTTTGCTCATCCGATTTTGTGTATAATAAAATATATGCATTAAGACTCAAAAGACAAAGAGCAAATAACATTCCTTAGTATATTAATCGACTCAACAATAGTATGTTTTTTCATATCAGATGGCAGAAGGATGTGAATACAACAATTCAGCACGAGGATCTGACGCATACTTGTGCACACCGTGCGCTGACGAGGGCAATGATGCAAAAGCGTTGAAATACTGTCCTGATTGTAAAGAATATCTCTGTGCAGCGTGCATAAAGTATCACCTTAAGTTTTCTGCAACGAGGAAACACACGCTACATGATAACGAATTCCAGCGTACTGAGAGAGATTCCATCGACACTACATCAGATGAGGACCAAATGTTCAAATGTATCTATCATCTTGACAGGGATATCGAGATGTACTGTGGTGATCATGACATGGTGTATTGCTCTCCATGTATTGCTAAGAACCATAGGTAATCATTTTCTTACATTTATATTTTTGTATCCTAACATTTCAGTTCAACAATGATGTCAGAATCTATTTGTACTTTTTATGAGTATGATATTTTAAAATAATTTCAACAATGAAACCCTGGTATTCAGCTGTTTGTTCATTGGTGTTCCCCGTGTCACAAAAAGAAAAGGTGAGCTTTTGTAATTGCAATTTGTCCGGCGTCCATCCTTTAACTTTTACTTAAAGGACATCTACTTAAAAAACTGCTGAGCCATTTACATCCAAACTTCACAGGAATGTTCTTTTGGTGGTCACCTTTAAAATTGTTCAAAAAAATGAAGCATGAGGCATCTTCTAGTGAGTGTCTTCCAAGTTTGTTCATATAAAAGCCCTGGGGTCAAAGTTGGCCCAGCGCAAGGGGGTAATTGATTTTCCTTATATGTTTATAGTAAAAACTTTAAAATCTTCTTGATAAAAACCTAAAGAACTAGATCTTAGATATTTGGCACGACACATTTTCTTTTGAGTGTCTACCAAGTTCATTCAAATAAAAGCCCTGGGGTCAACTGGCTCCGCCAGGGTGTCATTAAATATCCTTATATGTACACATCTTTTGGAACAGTTGTTTTCCCTCAGCAATAGCAACCTGTATTGCTTTTACACATGCACTATTTCAGAAACAAATATGAACTTTGTGATATCAGTTTAATATTTAGATTTTATACCTGCTTTTGTTTATAGTTTACAAAATTTACTTGTTCCTTGCCAATGAAAGTTTTTTATTTTCAGGTGAGCGATTTCAAGGCCATCATGGCCCTCTTGTTAAAATTATTTTCACTGAAGGTTAACTTTTTGTTTTTTAACTTGTTCAATCAACTATTGTAGACAATGCAGCGGAATTCTACAGCTTGAAGAAGCAACTGCTAAGATTCCTATAAACCAGCAAGACGACATATTACGACAGATTGATACTTTGCAAGCTGATATACAAGCAAATGGACAGAAAAAAGAAGTCAATTTGATTGCGCTTGATCTAGACAAGAATGATATTCTAAAAGCCATAAAAGACACAGAACTTTTGATAATCGGCAAAGTCAAGGCATTAGCTTCAGATGTGAAAGCAAATACTTGTTCTAGCTATGATGGTTTTAAAAAAGATTTTCAAGAAGAAGAAGCTTTTCTTTTGCAGGCTATAACTGCAACTGATGAATTAAGAAAGACACTTGAAACTCAAGCTGATTTAGATGCAAAACGGCAATTTACAAGGTACATATTACAAAAACATATCATTGCAAAGACACAGAAAATGCATGATGATGTAGCAAAAGATAAAAAGAAAATGAAATGTTTAATGAATGACGAGATGATACAACAGGTACTGGGATCTGATTACCTGGGTCAAGTTGTTGGAAGTGGAAGAAGCGATATTACCAAAGACACGCCACTACACAAAATGTCACTAAAAGAAGTAACCATCAAGGGGGATGGAGACAAAGATACCTGCACAATAATTGGTATTTGCCAGCTTTTTGATGGAACAGTCATACTAGCTGACTACAATAATACTTCGCTTAAAAAGCTGAATAAAGATTTGAGTACCACAGACAAATTCTATCTAGAATGTAAACCTCTGGGTATTTGTTTGACTGGCAAAACTGAGGTTGCCGTAAAACTGGAAAACCACACGGTTCTGTTTATTTCTATTAATGATAAATTCACGAAAAAACAGTCAATTTATATAGAAGGTGGAGACTTTTTCGGACTTGTTTCAATTTGCAACGAACTTTGCTGCTTTACAGGGAATTGTATTCAGGTATATAACAGAAGGGGTGAAGTTATTAAAACTTTTGATAAAAAATCATTTGACGGAACAATATTTCAAACGGGTGATGGGGATCCTTTCCCAGTTGTAGCTGACAAAAAATTTATATATGTATCAGATTTAAATAGTCAAGTTGCATGTATAGACAGGGAAGGAAGCGTATGGTCAGTTATGAAAAGTGAACGGCTGAAGTTAGTAAGGAGGGCATGTATTGCAAGTAACGGTATCATTTGTGTGGCAGGATACCACTCGGGCAATATCATGATGTTCAATCAGAAAGGAATTTGCTTAGGAGAATTAGTAGAAGGCTTAGTTAAGCCAGATTCTCTTTGCTTTGACAACAAGAAGCATCAGCTGTTTATTGGGCATGAAAACAAGAATATCATTACAATAATAACTACAGGTTAAGTACATACATGGTAGTGACAGGAATGGTGTTTTTTGCTTTGCAATGAAAAGAAATGTTTATGTTTCATAATTTACTCATAATACAAATAAATTTAACTTAGTCAACGTATTTTATAAAATGTATTATAGTTATTTGAGATATATAAAATGGTTTATTTGATTTAATTTGAAATCACTATTTATTTGGAATCATTATTTAAAAAGAGCGATGTCAAAGAAAAAAGACCGTTTCAAATATACTCTTGTATTCGTTGAGAATTAGTTATTTGTTTGACTTTTAGACCATCAAACTCCCGACAAAATCCCACACCGTAGAGACACCCAAGTTAATGCTAGATCATCCTCTAAATCGAAACCACTTAACCACTTTAGTGCGAGGACATCGGAAATATAATACACGAAAGATTCCCTTGCAGTTTTTTCCGCATTTTCTTAACGGGATTACAAATAACTTCTGATAACTTCTGACCTCATTTGGATTTGTTTTGTTCTTTTCTGTTATGAAACAAAATTTAATGTATGGGGACGAATTTATGTCAATATCGATCAGACTATAGTAAGTGCAAGCGCAACGTTGTAAATATTACATTATGTTTCTACGATGTATAAATATGTCAGGCATAAAATATATCTTGACAGTTATAAATCGAGATTTTAACAGATCCTTTTTATATAATGAAAATAACAAACATACCTTTACATTCTTAAAATTGATAGTCATATGAATAAAAACGACATTATATTTTTGCATATTAAAAATGCAGACTGGATTATTTTCGGTTATGAGTTCATCCCTGATTAATGAAACGATATAAGATTTGGTTTCTTTTTTCACATCTATTTATAGTTTAGAAGAACAGAATATATCTTTTTTGTACAATACTGTAGAAATGAAGGTTATTAAGTATGCATTATAAAATTTTTACATTCGCATTTGTTTTAAATCCTATATAACCCAAATACTAATACCTGGTATTATTTAACTTGCACCCGATATTATTTTTATATATTTTTTTAAAACATCGTCAATACAGTAACTTTTTTAATACTTATATGAATCAGCTTCATCAGTCTTAAATTGGACATTGACGAATGGAAGTCATTTGGAATTTGGTTATTGTGTTATAAGTATAATTTGAGAAAGGACTGAATACTTTAGTATTGATTTATTTTATTAGCGTTTTGTTTGTTAATTATATATTATAGTTTTCAATTAGCTTTATTCCGGTCTCGGTAGAAATTTCTGCACAAAAATGTAACTTCAATTTCATGTTTTTCTAAAAAAAAAACAACAAAAAACTGTTGAGATCGTACTGTGTGAAAGTCGTTACTACACGGTGTCTTATGATATCCGAAACCACGTTCCCTGTTGTCGCAATATGAAACCCCGGAAAAAAGTAACCAATGAACGAGCATCTGAATATGATATTTCTGTCGCTTTCCCTTTCTCTGCCGCCCCAACAAAAATGAACCAATCAATGGGCATGCTCTGAAGTGTGGGTAACTAATACCTGCACTGCAGTTAACGCATTTTGCATGTATATGTATACGATTTAATTCGGACACATTTTCAACAGGAAGGTCCTCAAACTATGATACAATTTCTTTATAGAGACTTTGTTAATGTATACTGTAATGTTTATTAAAACCATTTGATAGTTCAACATTTGCAATATCAAAAAAACTGCATGTGGATTAAGTCCAATCACGCCATAATAAACATCAATAATTTTGTTTTTTTGGGTGTATGTTAATTGCATCATATTAGTCGAGTGTTCTATCGTTCTACATAATAAGACAAAAAACTAAAGACCTAAAAAGTAACGTAAAGGTCACGTACAGAAAGAGACTTATAAGAGATTTACCTGATTGAACAAGCTAGTGTCTGGCTGAAATATAATCATTGGCCGAAACTTCTACTTCTCGGGAGCCTAACCGTGAATTATAACAATTTCACATCCACCAAATTCATGTACAAGTACTAATTCACCAGGATAAACAATAAACAAAATTCATGAAACCTTTATTATACACCCCTTCATAAACTTCATAGGTGTACTGGTCTTGGTAAGTAGATAGGCCTTATTGATTTTGGGGTTAAGGGATCAAAGGTCATGGTCACATTGACGTTGTATGCTAACATCGGTTTCTGACCAATGAATCAACAATCCATGGGCCCAATCTATAAAGGTTACATTTTCAGGTCGATCCTTCATACAATCCTTCACTTGATACTTTTTTTATTATGTATAAAAACATTGCGGTAAAAAGGGCACTAAATTATTATATAGAGCAAGGACAAATTGCTGTATTACAGATGTTCATACGATACCCTGTGTCAAGTGAACTGATCAGGAATATACATACCTTATATCAAGTACAGATTTGCAAATGCTCAATATAAAAAAGCAAAATGCAAGGCAGATTTTCAACTATATAAAACTTTTTTTAATGCATAAGTTATAACAAAACGAACCCATATATTCGATTTATAATCAAAAAGGAATACAATCAAACTTATAAACGGTCTCCTCCGGAATTCCGTTAAAACGAAGACCGAATACCGTCGATAAGTAGATCCCCTATCCTTGGTTATCTCAACAGAAGTGTGGCAACCGGAAAAAAGCTTAAGTAAGAGTTTTAAATTACTTATTTTCTAGTTCTTAATGCTATGACTCTTTCCTTATATTTACAAGTTAAGGTCTGGTGTTAACAACCATTTAACTAATCCTGAATCCTGATCAGTTTAATTAACGCGGAAGTATAAAATATTAGCTTGAACAAACCCATTGTGTACACCGGTCTTGTCGATATTTGAGAGACCGGTGTGTATATAATGGAACAAACCCCCAGTTAAGGTTGATTCATATCACATAAATTATGTTTTATTCTTCGTAACGGTATTATTCAGTAAAAAGAAACTTCGACGGGAGCGATAGCGACCGGAGAAGTAGAACAGCGACTGATGTACGAGTATACTGACATACTTTAGTACACAGCAACTCGACATTCTATAAATAATTGAAACCTAAATCAAATAATTAAAAATCAATGGCAAATATACCCCTCTATACTATAAATAAACAGTACAGAGGGATATATTTGCCGTTATTTTTTAATTATTTGCTTATATTTTTCAATTATATTTAGAATGTCAAGCTCCTGCGCTTTATAAATATGCGAGTTTTCATTTGCTCGATATTGAAACAAACATTTTTGATGAGTTGGACAATTGAAACTCAGTAGCTAATATGTGATATGATTTAAATGCCATGTGTTAACACGAAGTCACGTAATGCTTTTTTTTTTCAAAAACTTAACATAATGTCGACTTTCACTTTCTGTCTACCTAATAGACACACGTGACTTTCCTCTTAGTTACAAATTAATCAAGACCTTTTCCTACATTCGTAATAAAAATATTCATGTTTTAGGTTTTTTTTTACACGTGCAGTATCTTTTTAACTGAACTGCATGCAAATCCTTTATCAATAAATGCAAAATAAATGTAGGTTGAACTTTTGGCGTTTTTTTACTTAATCAATTTTTAAAAACGTTCAAATTTATGCAAATGACCATTTTTTACAATCTCGGTTCTATGAAGCAATATAAAAAATAGAAGACAACTATGAGCGGAATTTGATAAAGTATCGACTTTTCTTCTTCTATGAAAATCACCGCAAAAATTTTTGAGGAAAGACAACGTTTCCATTGGATGACAAATAAAGTTGGACACTAACAAAAAAACAAAAATAAAATCATTGTTTTGCAAAAAATTGTTACATTAAAAAATCTTACAAAATTACTTTAATAGCGGCATGATCTGCTTTTCTCTTAATAACAGTTACATCTGGAATTTCTCTGACCTACATTTTAACGCACGAGTTCAAATTCAAGTAGGGTCAATATATACATGTATTACTTTTTTTATGAACATTACTGACATACTTTAGTGCACAGCAACTCGACATTCTATAAATAATTGAAACCTTAATCAAATAATTAAAAATCAATGGCAAATATACCCCTCTATACTATAAATAAACAGTACAGAGGGGTATATTTGCCGTTATTTTTTAATTATTTGCTTATATTTTTCAATTATTTTTAGAATGTCAAGCTCCTGCGCTTTATAAATATGCGAGTTTTCATTTGCTCGATATTGAAACAAACATTTTTGATGAGTTGGACAATTGAAACTCAGTAGCTAATATGTGATATGATTTAAATGTCATGTGTTAACACGAGGTCACGTAATGCTTTTTTTTTCAAAAACTTAACATAATGTCGACTTTCACTTTCTGTCTACCTAATAGACACACGTGACTTTCCTCTTAGTTACAAATTAATCAAGACCTTTTCCTATATACATTCGTAATAAAAAATATTCATGTTTTAGGTTTTTTTTACACGTGCAGTATCTTTTTAACTGAACTGCATGCAAATCCTTTATCAGTAAATGCAAAATAAATGTAGGTTGAACTTTTGGCGTTTTTTTACTTAATCAATTTTTAAAAACGTTCAAATTTATGCAAATGACCATTTTTACAATCGCGGTTCTATGAAGCAATATGAAAAATAGAAGACAACTATGAGCGGAATTTAATAGTATCGACTTTTCTTCTTCTATGAAAATCACCGCAAAAAATTTTGAAGAAAGACAACGTTTCCACTGGATGACAAATAAAGTTGGACACTAAAAAAAACCAAACAAAAAACAAAAATAAAATCATTGTTTTGCAAAAAATTGTTACATTAAAAAATCTTACAAAATTACTTTAATAGCGGCATGATCTGCTTTTCTCTTAATAACAGTTACATCTGGAATTTCTCTGACCTACATTTTAACGCACGAGTTCAAATTCAAGTAGGGTCAAGATATACATGTATTACTTTTTTATGAACATTATGCATGTATCTCTCATATCTTTTTCATTAAAAGAAGAAAATATTTAATTTTATTAATATTGGTCATATATATATTTATTGGCTAAGTAAGCTTGATTTAATTACAAATATGATGTATGATTTTTTTTTCAAAAATGGTCTTGGGGGTCATTTAGTTTGTAATATTAGTTATAAAGATTTAGATGTTTTTAACGTAGCATTGCCTCAGATACCTCTACAAAAGTTATAAAGATAATGTCATTGGTGGTTATTGTGGTTTTGCTTTTGTGAGGTCACTCAGTTTACTTAAACTTATATAGTATACATGTTACAAAATAGACGTTTAACATGTAGCATTTTCTCGCTTCCTGTGTTATATTGCAAACAATCGTTTATATAGGGTCATACCCTGTCAAAAATCTTTAAAAAGATGCTTGCTGTTATAAATATTTCTGACAGGATATATGGCCGTATATAAATGGTTGCTTGCAATATAACCCTCATATTTCCAAACGACGAAACGCGTTGTTCAAAGATCAATATGAAGTACAAGTCGTTGACTATGAATTAGTAAAACACCATACAGTATTAGTTCTTCATTTTAGTATGTACATATATGTAACTGAAAACGCCGGCACAACAGAAATATTGTATATTACATATCTGTTATGAGACAAATAACCCTATACAAAAAATAGTAAAAAATAAGATAAGTTGTGTAGTTTTACATGCTTTGCTCCATGTTTGAGTCTATAGTTTAATTTCATATTTCATAGTACCAGATGGCAGAACGAGGCAAATACAACAATTCAGTACGAGGATCTGATGCAGACGTTGAGTACTCGTGCACACCGTGCGCCGACGAAGGCAATGATGAAAAGGCGTTGAAATACTGTCCGGAATGTAAAGAGTATCTCTGTGCAGCGTGTATGAAATATCATCTTAAGTTTTCTGCAACGAAAAAAAACACGCTACAAGATAACGAATTCCAACGTTCTGAGAGAGATTCCATCGACACTACATCGAATGAGGACAAAATGTTTAAATGTCTCCATCATCCTGACAGGAATATCGAAATGTATTGCGGTGATCATGACATGATTTATTGCTCTCTCTGTGTTGCTAAGAACCATAGGTAATCATCTTCATACATTTTTTTTTGTATCCAGACATTTCAATTCAATGTCGTCGGAATCTAGATCTATTTGTACTTTTCTTGACTATGATATTTTAAAATTATTTCGGCAATGAAACTCTGGTATTCAGCTGTTTGTTCAGTGCTGTTCCCCGTGTATTGTTTACTGCATAGCAAAGTGACAAGGTGAGCTTTTGTAATCGCAATTCATCCGGTGTCCGTCATCGTCCGTAAACTTTTACTTTAAACGACATGTCCTCATAAACCGCTAAGCCATTTTCATCCAAACTTCACAGGAATGTTCCTTTGGTGGTCATATTTAAAAATTGTTCATAGAAGAAATGAATTCCATGCAGAACACTGGTTGCCATGGCAACCGAAAGAAAAAACTTTAAAAACATTCTTTTAATAAACCCGAAGAGCTAGAGTTTAGATATTTGGCATGAACAATTTTCTAGTGAGTATCTACCAAGTTTGTTCAAATAATAGAAATGGGGGCAAAATTAGACGCCCCAGGTGGCCATTGATTTTCCTTAGAATTATGTAGATAGTAAAAAAAAATCTTTTAATAAACTCAAAGAGCTAAAGCTTAGATATTTGGCATGAAACTTTTTCTAGTGAGTGTTTACAAAGTTTGTTCAAATAATAGCCATGAGGGCAAAATTACCCGTCCCAGGTGGCCATTGATTTTCCGTAGAATTATGTAAATAGTAAAAAACATTCTTTAATAAACTCAAAGAGCTAAAGCTTAGATATTTTGCATGAAACATCTTGTAGTGAGTGTCTACCAAGTATGTACATATCAATCCTGGGGTCAAAATTGGCCAAGGGGTAACTGATTTTCCTTAAATGTATGTTGTAAAATCTTTAAAAAAATATTCTTGCTAAAAACCTAAAGATATAGAGCTTAGACTTGTTAGATATTTGGCATCTTGTAGTGAGTGTCTACTAAGTTTGTTCAAATAAAAGCCCCGGTTCAGAATTGATTTTCCTTATATGTACACATCTTTTGGAACTGTTGTTTTCCCTTAGCAATAGTAACCAGTAATGTTTTTACACCTGCACTCTTTCAGATACAAATATGAACTTTGCGATATCAGTTAAATATTTAGATTTTATACCTGCTTTTTTAAATAGTTTACAATATTACTTTTTCCTTGCCATCATGCCACTCTTGTTTAAAAATATTGTTACTGAAGACAACATGTTTGTTTTTTAACTTGTTCAATCAACTATTTTAGACAATGCAGCGGAATTCTAGAAGTTGAAGAAGCAACTGCTAAGATTCTTATAGACAAGCAAGACGACATTTTACGACAGATTGATACTTTACAAGCTGAAATACAAGCAACTAGACAGAAGAAAGAAGTCAATCTGATTGCACTTGATCAGGACAAGAATGATATTCTAAAAACCATTGAAGACACAGAACTTTTGATCATCGACAAAGTCAAGGCATTAGCTACAGATGTGAAAGCAATTACTTGTTTTAGGTATGATGGTCTGAAAAAGGATATTCAACATGAAGATTCGATTCTTTTGTGTGCTATAACTGATACTGATGAAGTAAGAAAAAAAATTGAAACCCAAGCTCATTTAGATGCAAAGGGGCAATTCTTAAGGTACATTTTACACAAACATACCTTTTCTAAAATAAAAGATATGCATTGTAGCGTAGAAAAAGATGAAAAGAAAATGAAATGTTTTAAGAATAACGAGTTTATACAACAGGTATCAACAGCTGAATGGCTTCTTCGAGTTGTTGAAAGTAACAGTAGCGGTCCTACAACTGAGGAGCCAATGTACAAAAAGTCACACAGAGAAATATCTGTTAAGGGAAACAGAGACGAGAATACATGCTCTATACTTGGAATTTGCCAGCTTAATGATGGTACATTTTTGATAGCGGATAGAGATAATAAATCTCTCAAAAGGCTGAATAAAGACTTCAGTATCATTGGAGAACACAATCTAGGTACTAGTCGTCCTATAAGTATGTGTTCGGTTGGCAAAAGTGAAGTAGCTGTAAAACTGGAAAATCACACTGTACTATTTGTTTCCATTGATGACACATTTATTGAAAAAACAGTAATTTATTATTATTAGTGGCCTTATTGGTCTTGTATATTACTGCACCGTACTTTGGTCATACACTGGAAATGGCATTACGGACTATAACGGTCATAAAAGCTATCACAAAAAATACATTTGAAGGAACACTTTTCAAGGCGGTTGGTAAACATCTTGTCCCAGTTGCATCTGATAGAGGGTTTATTTATGTATCTGATTTGGATAATCAGGAAGCATGTATAGATAAGGACGGAAATGTGTGGTCAATAATGGGTTTGGAAAGGCTTAAAAAAGCAAGGAGGGCTTGTATTATGATAAACTCTGATAATCAAATATAACTTGGACTACTAAGATGATGAATAATTTTATAATATTTTAAGTTATGTGAAACATTAATTTTGATCAAATTTGAAACCATCATTCATTTTAAACTGACATGCATGTATATAATACATGTATATCAAATTTGATTAAATTTGAAACCACTATTTATTTGTAGCAATTATTTGAGATGTAGGTATAAAATACATCTTGACAATTAAGAATCGAGATTTATACAGATACATTTTATATAAGGAAAATATTATAATACAAATACCATTATTATGATAACATTGTTAAAATTGATAGTCACATGAATAAAAACGACACTACTTTTTGCATATTAAAAATGCAGACTGGATTATTTTCAGATTTGAGGTCATCCTTGATTATTGAAAAAAGAAAAGAAAAAAGATTCCATCCTCTTTTTTACATCTATTTATAGTTTTAGCAGAACAGAATATATCTTTATTGTACAATACTGTAGAAATGAAGATTATTAAGTATGCATTATGAAATTTTTACATTCGCATTTGTTTTAAATTCTATATACCCAAATACTTGCACCTGGTATTATTTAATTTGCACCTGATATTATTTTGATAATATTTTTAAAAAATTGTCAATTCCGTAATTTTTTAAAGGTCTGCTAAGGCAAATAAATGACAAAAATATTAAAATGATTTAATGTACTCAAATCACGCTAAATGACATTTTTTTTTAAAGTCCCATCAAGGATTTTGTATTTAGAATTTAGATGCTGACAAAATCACCGAGTAGTTTTAAAACAAGCCATGTGACTTGAACAAACCCTGGAATTTACAATAACAGATATCGTAAATATTGTATGATTGAAACAAGTCTAAGTCATTCATTTGACGTGCAGAGTTCACTGTGGCAACTATTGTGAAATCTTAACGCTCTAACCTGACCCACGTGGGTCAAGTTAGGAAACCACCATATTATTCTTTAAAAGGAGTAAAGATTTGTTCCTATGACTGCATTGTGTATTTATTTTGATGACATTTGCAGAGTAATTAACGGAGAATTGAAAATGTTGCCTGTGTCTCCCTTTAATACTTATATTTATAAGCTTCATCAGTCTTAATATGGAAGTCATCTTGAATTGAGGTAATTGTGTTTTTATAGGTATAATTTGAGAGAGAATGACCGTGATGAATACTTAAGTATTGAATTATTTTATTAGCATTTTCGTTTATTAATTATATAGTTTTCAATTAGCTTTATTCCGGTCTCGGTAGAAGTTCCTGCACAAAAATGCAGCTTCAATCTCATTTTTTTTTCTTCACAAACACTGTTGAGGCCATACTGAGTGAAATTCGTTACTACACGGTGTCTTATATGTTACCCGAAATTTGATAATGATATTCTTACTTTACCATAAGCAAATTTTACTTAAGTAAATAAATTGTAAAAAATGGAGAAAATAAGCATATAACTTTTTGTATTCATTGCATTTTTGTTGATCATTTTTTGTAAATATTGCTATCTTTCGAAATGAGTAAAACATGATTTGTAAGATGTTGTAAGAAATGAAATAGGAAAATATGAATTCGAATATGTTTTATATGTAAATTTTATATGAAATAGTTTCTGAATCATTTTGGTATTTTGTGTACCGTTTGTGCTGTCAGAGATTTAAATAATCTAACTGTACGTATCTCTCTGACACCACCGTTCTTTAAAACGTTGTTCAGTGATATCAATTTAGTTTTAATAATTATAAGATTTCATTCATTTCATTTCAATCTGTTGATGATGTGATGTACATATATTTTACTCTTTCTTCTTAACATTTAAATAAATTTATACAAATCATGATGGGCCTTATTGATTTTGGGGTTAGGGGTTCAAAGGTCATGGTCACATTGACCTTGTAAAAACATTGCGGTAGAAAGGGCAATAAATTATTATATAGAGCAAGTATAGGTTGATGAGTTACAAAAGTTCATACGATACCCTGCGTCAAGTGAACTGATCTGGAATCTACCTACCTTATATCAAGGGAAGTACAGATTTGCAAATGCTCAATATAAAAAAGCAAAAAGCAAGGCAGATTTAAAACTATATAAAACTTTTTTTGTATACATAACTTATAACAAAACGAACCCATATTCGATTAATAATCAAAAAGGAATAAAATCAAACTTATAAACGGTCTCCTCCGGTCTCCGTTAAAACGAAGACCGGACACCGTCGATTAGTAGATCGCATATCAACAGAAGCGAAATCGAAAGTGGGGCAACCGGAAAAAAAGCTTAAGTAAGAGTTTTAAATTACTCATTTTCTAGTTCTTTATGCTATGACTCTTTCCTTACATTTACAAGTTAAGGTCTGGTGTTTACAACCATTTAACAAATCCTGACAATCAGTTTAATTAACGCGGAAGTATAAAATATTAGAGTCTCTCTTATGGCCATCAATCGCTACAGTGATTGTGGGCCATAAACCGCTGGGCACTAGAACACTAAATCTGTGTATTTTCTTCCTCGGTCCGCCTATCATACAACTTATTACGGTACGTTTAAAAAGTATTGTAGAACTCTATCAAATGGAAAACAATCTTTAAAACATTACATATAAAGAACAGTGGTGATCGTAGCGAATGGTTGTCCAGGCAGACTTATAATGATAATTCGTTATATAATTGCTTCTTATAGCCCTATGAAAATAAAATTGGCTAACGTCTCGGACTATATTACAAGATACAAGATACAAGAAACTTTATTTTAAGTCGGTTTACATATTACAATAAACATTAGCTAATAAGCTATTTACCGACAATAACAAAGGCATAAAACATATTTATTAACATACGAGGGCTGTCCGGAAAGTTCGTAGACAAGGCTATAAAATTATTATAAGCAGTCATATCAATATGATGATTGAATATTTTGCTAAAGTATTTATATGCTACATATTGTTAAATAAAAAAAAACATTATAAAAGTAATATTCGCAAAGCGCCAATTACCATGGCAACATGATCAACGGATCACGGAGCACTTTGATTTCATGACGATAGATACTTGAATAATAACTTGCTAAAAAGTGTATTTTTACGCAAGTCTCGTTTTAATTTTGCGACATCAAATGATACTATTGCATGATATTTTGTGAAAATTATGACGTCATACGTAAATAAACAGCTTGTTTACGACGGTAAGAGGCAATGACAGTGCGTAAATTTTGTGTTGCAAAATGACGTCAAATTCAAGGACGGAGCAACGTAATGTTATTTAACTTCGTAGCAACTCTTATATGGGACCAACTAAGATTTTAGCCGTTACTTTAAAAACAAATTCAGCCATAAATTGTTCAAGACAACTTGCGTTTAAATGTCAAACAAGATAAAGAAGCGGTAATGACAGAATTAGGTAAAAGAGCGCCCCAGACGACCATAAGTAGCATGGCCAAAATATCGTAGATTACGTTATAAAATTCTTTGAAAAAAACAGACATCTAACACACACTGTAGGGAACCAGTGAAATCTTTGTTTTTAAATAAATTGTAGTATATAAATTTATAAAGTAATGACAAAGGAACATAACATGTATTATTTATATGCCAGACAGGTAACATGGCTGTTGAAAACGGAGCAAACTGAATAGTGTGTAAACGTGAATTTAATTTGACGCTGATGACATTGTCAAAGTGCTCCATGACGATGTATATATGTTGTATGTAAATACTGTTAATATACAAACCTAAGTCACAGTTCAGTAATTTTTGATAAATGTGTTCGCTAGATATGTATAATTGTGCTGACAAAATTTGTACAACATATGTATTGTCATAGTTTAAAAAATTAAGAAGTATATGAACTTTCCAGACATCCCTCGTATAACAGTTCTGAAAATAAAAAACATATAAACTATTAGCAGCTTTAAGCATGAAATAAACGTATCAAGGTTAAGAAGAACTTTACAATAAGATGGTAAATTAAGGCATAGTTTGATGACATGCACAGTACATGTTGTATTAAAAGTAATAACAGTTTCTAAAAGTAATAAATGATTGTAGTCTAGAAATTAAAGTATGATACATAGCAATGTGAAATAAGAATAATAATAAAATTTAAAAAAAAAAAAAAATTAATAAAATAGTAATAGTTTTAAGTTAACATCTACAATTTATAAATACGTAATTGAAGGTTTCCTTAAAAAATAAATAAATAAATAAATAAATAAATAGATAAATAAAACTTACTTATAAAAGTGCATACAAATTTTTGATAGAAATAATACAGCATAAAAAGAAACAAGATAAAGCACATTCAGGGTAACAAACAAAGTTAACTAAAATTAACTAAAATTAAGTTGCATGCATAGCCTAATGGACTGGGGAATATTCAATAAGGAGTTTTAATATAAACAGAGCATGCAGATCATATAACAAAGACTCAGCTAGCATAAATGTAGGGTTTAAGGAAAATTAACACACATATTAATTAATATTATCATATCAATATATACTTTTATTTTTATGGCTGCAAAACGAGCTGTACATTGCCTCTTGACAATAACCACGAATCATAGTATGGTTCCATGTAAAAATTGAGATGACTATATATATAGTCTCTTGCAGGTAGCCACGTACACACCATGGCCTCATGAAAATACATTAATGGTTAAAGTTTGTCTACCTAATATACACACGTGACTTTCCTCTTAGCTACAAATTAATTAAGACCTTTTCCAACATTCGTAATAAAAAAATATTAATTGACATTTTTATGTTTTTTTTTACACGTGCAGTATCTTTTTCGCCAAGACAATGATTTAAAACTGAACTGCATGCAAATCCTTTATCAATAAATGCAAAATAAATGTAGGTTGACCTTTTGACGTTTTTTTACTTAATAAATTTTTAAAAACGGCCAACGAAAGCGCAACAAATGACCATTTTTACAATCGCGGTTCTATGAAGCACTATGAAAAATAGAAGGCAACTTAGAATGGAATTTGATAAAGTATCGACTTTTCTTCTTCTATGAACATTAACGCACACAATTTTGAAGAAAGACAACGTTTCCATTGGATGACAAATAAAGTTGGACACTAAAAAACCAAAAAAAAAAAAACACCCCAAAAAAAACAACAAAAAACAAAAATAAAATCATTGTTTTGCAAAAAATTGTTACGTTAAAAACTCTTACAAAATTTCTTTAATAGCGGTATGATCTGCTTTTCTTTTAGTAACAGATACATCTGGAATTTCTCTGACCTACATTTTAACGCACGAGTTCAAATTCAAGTGGGGTCAAGATATACTAATTTTTTCTATCAACAGTATGCATGTATCTCTCATATCTTTTTTAAAAGAAGAAAGTATTTAATTTTATTAATATTGGTCATATATATATTTTTATTGGCTTAGTAAAGCTTAATTTAATTACAAATATGATGCATGATTTTTTCAAAAATGGTCTTGGGGTAATTTAGTTTGTAATATTAGTTATAAAGATTTAGATGTTTTGAACGTAACATTGCCTTAGATACCTCTACAAAAGTTATATAGATAATGTCATTGGTGGTTATTGTGGTTTTGCTTTTGTGAGGTCACTCAGTTTACTTAAACTTATATAGTATACATGTTACAAAATAGACGTTTAACATGTAACATTTTCTCGCTACCTGTGTTATATTGCAAACAATCATTTATATAGGGTCATACCCTGTCAAAAATCTTAAAAAGATGCTTGCTGTATTATGAATTCGTTATAAATATTTCTGACAGGATAAATGGCCGTATATTAACGGTTGCTTGCAATATAACCCTCATATTTCCAAACAACCGTTTATAAAGGGCCATATAGCATGTGAAATTTTTTAACTAATTATATACGAGGGGCAATTGAAATATTAGTACGGCAAACTAGACATATTATAAAAAGCTGCATACATCACACCTCATGTTCATAAACAATAAAATGTTTGAAACGGTTTGAAATGATGAAATGTTATCAAACTTCGTTAAAGAACTGTCTCTATTTGGTGAACATGTATACATTTTAATCTAAGATTTTTTAAATACAAATGCAGTATATAATTAAAACTTTTTCTTTTCTTGTTTATAAACTGATTACAACTATTATCTTTAGAGATTTGAATCTTATTGTGAGGTAGAGGGGGGAGTGATTGGGGTCTAAAATACTCAAAAACCTTTCCACATTCCATAATAGATTAGAGTATTTTCTGCATAAGATATTTGGTTAAATGATATGCACTGAATTTAATGTTTTTAACACTATTTTAACAGAAAAGAAAAACGAGGAAAATTTGTGAAATCTGCATATATTACTGTCTTTTTGTCCTTAGCAGATTACGCATACGCGAGAAAATGACGCATGCATAGCAACGAAACGCGTTGTTCAAAGATCAAAAGGAAGCACAAGTCGTTGACTATGAATTAGTAAAAAAACATACAGTATTAGTTCACATTTTTGTATGTACATATATGTAACTGAAAACGCCGGCACAACAGAAATATTGTATATTACATATCTGTTATGAGACAAATATACCTCTACAAAAAATAGTAAAAAATACAATATGTTGTATAGTGTTACATGTTTTGCTCCATGTTTGAGTCTATAGTTTAATTTCATATTTCATAGTACCATATGGCAGAAGGAGGCGAATACAACATTTCAGTACGAGGATCTGATGCAGACCTTGAATACTCGTGCACACCGTGCGCTGACGAGGGCAATGATGAAAAGGCGTTGAAATACTGTCTGGAATGTAAAGAGTATCTCTGTGCAGCGTGTATAAAATATCATCTTAAGTTTTCTGCAACGAAGAAACACACGCTACAAGATAACGAATTCCAACGTTCTGAGAGAGATTCCATCGACACTACATCGAATGAGGACAAAATGTTTAAATGTCTCTATCATCCTGACAGGAATATCGAAATGTATTGCGGTGATCATGACAATGTGTATTGCTCTCTCTGTGTTGCTAAGAACCATAGGTTATCATCTTCATACATTTTTTGTGTCGCCTCTACGGAGTAGTGGCGACATATAGGGATCACTTCTCCGTCGTCTGTCTGTCCGTATGTCTGTGCGTCACAAAACTTGTCCGGACTACTCCTCATAAACTACTGGTGCAATTTCATCCAAACTTTACAGGAATGATCAGTACCAAGTCTCGTTGTGCATATTGTCAGCATTTTCCGGTTCAATGATTTTTGTCAGAGTTATTGCCTTTTAATAATTTTTATTTTTAAAGTTTGTCCGGACTACTTCTCTTATACCACTAATGCAATTTCAATGAAACTTTACAAGATTGATCTGTAGCTCAAGTCCTTGCGCATATTGCACGGGTTTTCCGGTTGAATGATTTTTGTCCAAGTTATGGCCCTTTGATAAAAAGGTGTTTTTTCTGTGTGTTGCCAGATACACAAAAGCTTGTCCGGACTACTTTTCATAAACTACTGGTGCAATTTTATCCAAACTTTACAGGAATGATCAGTGCCAAGTCTAGTTGTGCATATTGTCAGTATTTTCCGGTTCAATGATTTTTGTCAGAGTTATGGCCCTTTAATAATTTTTATTTTTAAAGTTTGTCCGGACTACTTCTCTTATACCACTAATGCAATTTCAATGAAACTTTACAAGATTGATCTGTAGCTCAAGTCCTTGCGCATATTGCACGGGTTTTCCGGTTGAATGAGTTTTAAGCAACTTATGGCCCTTTGATTAAAAAGGTGTTTTTTTCTGTGTGGTGCCAGATACACAAAAGCTTGTCCAGACTACTCCTCATAAACTACTGGTGCAATTTTATCCAAACTTTACAGGAATGATCAGTACCAAGTCTAGTTGTGCACTGTCCGTCTGTCTGTCTGTCACAAAACTTGTCCCAACATAAAATTGGCCATCATGAGGCGACACATGTGATTACTGATCGCTCTTGTTGTATCCAGACATTTCAATTCAACAATGTTGTCGGAATCTATTTGTACTTTAATGACTGTAATATTTTAAAATTATTTCGACAATGAAAACCTGGTATTGAGCTGTTTGTTCAGTGCTGTTTCCCGTGTGTTGTTTAACTGCTTCTTAGATCAACCTTCCTCAAAGTGAGAAGATGAGCTATAGTAATCGCAATTCGTCCGGCGTCCGTCCGTAAATCTTTACTTTAAACGACATCTTGTCATAAACTGCTGAAACATTTTCATCCAAACTTCACAGGAATGTTCCCTTGGTGGTCACCTATAAAATTGTTCAAAGAAATGAATTCCATGCAGAACACTGAAAGAAAGAAAATAAACCTTAGAAAACCTTCTTTTAATAAACCCAAAGAGCTAGATATTTGGCATGAAACATCTTCTAATGAGTGTCTACCAAGTGTGTTCAAATAAATGCCCTGGGGCCAAAATTAGTCTCGCCACATTCGGCCATTGATTTTCCTTAAAATTATGTTTAAATTTAAAAAAAATTATTTTAAAAAACTCAAGAGCTAGAGCTTAGATATTTGGCATGAAGCATCACCCAGTGAGTATATACCAAGTTTATTCAAATAAAAGCCCCGAGGTCACAATTGGTTTCGCCCTGGGGGGTCATTGATTTTCCTTATATGTACACATTTTTCGGAACTGTTGTTTTTCCCTTACCAACAACAACCAGTAATGTTTTTACACATGCACTATATATATGATATCAGATACAAATATGAACTTTTTGATATCAGTCTAAATATTTAGATTTTATTCCTGCTTTTGTTTAAAGTTTACAATTTTACTTGTTCCTTGGCAATGCAAGTTTTTCTATTCAGGCGAGGGTTTTCAGAGCCATCATGACCCTCTTGTTTTAAAATATTTTTACTGAAGGTAAAATGTTTTTTTAACTTGTTCAATCAACTATTTTAGACAATGCAGCGGAATTCTAGAGCTTGAAGAAGCAACTTCTAAGATTCCTATAAACAAGCAAGACGACATATTACGACAGATTGATACTTTGCAAGCTGATATACAAGCAACTAGACAGAGGAAAGAAGTCAATTTGATTGCACTTGATCAAGACAAGAATGATATTCTAAAAACCATTGAAGACACTAAACTTTTGATCATCGACAAAGTCAAGACATTAGCTTCAGATGTGAAAGCAAAGACTTGTTCTAGATATGATTGTCTGAAAAAGGATATTCAACATAAAGATTCTGTTCTTTTGCGTGCTATAACTGATACCGATAAAGTAAGAAAAAAATGTGAAACCCAAGCTGATTTAGATGCAAAGGGGCAATTTGTAAGGCACATGCTACACAAACATACCCTTTCTAAAACAAAAAATATACTTGCTAGCGTAGAAAAAGATGAAAAGAAAATGAAATGTTTTAAGAATGACGAGTTTATACAACAAGTGTCAACAGCTGAATGGCTTGTTCAAGTTGTTGGAAGTAACAGTAGCGTTCCTACCACTGAGCAGCCAATGCACAAACAGTCACACAGAGAAGTATCTGTAAAGGGAAACAGAGACAAGAATACATGCTCTATCCTTGGAATATGCCAGCTTAATGATGATACTTTTTTAATAGCGGATAGCTCTAATAAATCGCTCAAAAGGCTGAATAAAGACTTCAGTATCACAGGGGAACACAACCTAGATTCTAGTCCTATAAGTATGTGTTCGGTTGGCAAAACTGAAGTAGCTGTTAAATTGCTAAATCACACTGTACTGTTTGTTTCCATTGATGAAACATTTATTAATAAACAGTCATTTATTACAGAAGGCAGTGGCCTGATTGGTCTTGTGTATTACTGCAACGAACTTTGGTCCTACACTGGAAATGGCATCACTGTCTATAACAGAGAAGGAACGGTCATAAAAGCTATCACAAGAAATACATTTGAAGGAACACTTTTCAAGGCGGTTGGTAAACATCTTGTCCCAGTTGCATCTGACAAAGAGTTTATATATGTATCAGATTTGGATAATCAGGTAGCATGTATAGATAAAGACGGAAATGTGTGGTCAATAATGGGGTTGGAAAGACTCAAAAGAGCAAGGAGAGCGTGTATTGCTCAGAATGGTATCATTTTTCTTGCAGGAATCATCTCGGGCAATATTATGATGTTCAATAAGAAAGGTAAATGTTTAGGGGAATTGTTAGACGGATTAGTCAAACCAGAATCTCTGTGCTATGACAACAAGAACCACCAACTGATTGTTGGACATGAAAACAGGAATACTATTACAGTAATAACTATAGATGAATGTTTGTAAACTAGATGGTAGTGACAGGAACAAAAAAGATGCAGATAAATATTTCATGATTAACTCTGATAACAATCAAACATAACTTAGGCTACGTAGGTGATGAGATATTTTGTAATATTTTGAGGTATGTGAAACATAAATTTTGAAACCAGCATTCATTTGAAACTTACATACATGTATATAATACATGTATATAAAATTTGATTAAATTTGAAACCACTATTTATTTGAGGCAATTATTTGAGAAGCATGATGACAAAGGTTATAAGTTATGTGCTCCAATTACCTGTTTGTATATGTAGAGTTTTAGATGATTGACTTGGAGACCACCAAACTCCCGACTAATCCAAAACTACTGAGACACCCAGTATAGGTTAAATCATCTATTAATTTAAGCACGAAGTTGAAGGCAGTGCGCGTATTACACGGACGATTTCCGCGCTTTTTCTCTGCACTTTCATGGTTCAAATGACTATCGATAATTTTTACAACATTTGTTTTTTTTTGTTCTTTCCTGTTATGAAAAAATGTATGTTTTTATTTTAATATATGTAGCGAGTGCAAATTTGACGTTGTTAATATTACATTATTTTCCTACGATGTATAATTATGATGTTGGGTATAAAATATATCTTGACAGATAAGAATTGAGATTTTAACAGACACTTTTATATTAGGAAAATATTAGAACAAAAATACCATAACATTGGATTATTTTCGGTTATGAGGTCATCCCTGATTAATGAGAAAAAAAGATTTGATTTGACCCAATTCTCTGTTTTACATATATTTATAGTTTTAGCAGAAAATATCTTTTTTGTACAATACTGTAGAAATAAAGTTTATTAAGTACGCATTATGAAATTTTTACATTCGCGTTTGCTTTAAATCCTATAGACCCAAATACATGCACCTTGTATCATTAAACCTACACCTGGTATTATTATTACTATTATTATCATTATTATTAAAAGAATCGTCAGTTCCGTTAACTTAATACTTACATGTATAAGCTTCATCAGTCTTAATCTGAAAAACATTGTTTGGACATTGACGAATTGAAGTCATCTGGAATTGTGGTAATTTTGTTGTTTATAAGTGTAATTTGAGAGAGAATGACCGTGATGAATACTTTAGTATTGAATTATTTTATTAGCATTTTTGTTTGTTAATTATTAAGTTTTTATTTAGCTTTATTCCGGTCTCGGTAGAAATTATTGCACAAAAATGCAGCTTCAATTTCTTTTTTTTTTCTTTACAAAAACTGTTGATGCCATACTGAGTACACGGTGTCTTATGTTACTCGAATTCTAATAATAAACATTCTTACTTTATCATGAGCAAATTTTATTTCAGTAAATAAATTGTAAAAAATGGAGAAAATAAGCATATAACTTTTTGTATTCATTGCATTTTTGTTGATCATATTTTGTAAATATTGCCTTCTTTCGAAATGTGAAAAATTATTTGTAAGATGTTGTAAGAAATAAAATAGGAAAACATGAAGTCGAATATTTTTTTGTTTAAATGATATATGAAACAGTTTTTGAATCATTTTGACATTTTATGTACCATATGTACTGCCAGAGGTTTGAATAATCTAACTGTATCTCCCTGACACCACCCGTACTTTAAAAACAATTTTCAGTGATATCAATTTAGTTATTTTTTATGATAATAAAACTTCATTAGTTTGCAAACATACTTTTGATCATAAGACGTGCATGAACTTTTCTCTTTCTTCTCAACATTTAAAGAAGTTATAGCATAGTATTGATAATAAAGTGTATTTGAAGTTCGATATTAAGAAGTGTCGTTATCTATTGTTTTTGTATAGGTTTCCGTTAATGTAAAAAAATGTTTATTGAAACAACTTGATGTTTCCAGATATGCATTATCAGAGGACTGCATGTGACAAATTCTTTTCTACATATAATCACGCCCTAATAAGCAACAACAGTTTTGTATTTTAGATTGTATGTTAGTTTCATCAAGAGTAAAGGATTACATTGGCTATATTATTAGCAGAAACGATATCAAGGATCGAAATGAGGAATTGCATCTAGGTTAATAAGAAAATGAATAGAAAATGTACACATATACATGAATGAACTAGCCAGTGCCAGGCGGAAATAAATAATTGGCCAAAGGTTTTTGACAGAAGCCTAACCGTCATAAATGTGAATGATAACAAAATTTATGAACTCGGACAGTAAAAAAATTATGAAGACCGACAGTAAACAAAGTTCATACAGCCTCTATTAAAGAATTCGTCTTTAGTTTTAATTCTGAATACAATCAAACTATGCTTGAGCTAATACGTATAACACCAATCGCAAAGAATACAAAATGTAATAATGAAAGAAATATAGGACATCGATGAATGCATGCTCAATACTGAATGTATCAAATGAATTGATACAATACTCTATAAACCATATGAATACAGATCTAGCATTATAGCATTATATTTTTCACATGCCAATAATAAGAGTCGTGTTCAGTAAAATATTTCATTTGTTTCTTTGACGCCTTTATACTATATTATATACGCTTTGTTTGTTTTATGCATGTACATGTATATGACGTCATGTCTAACATACAAAATCGACTTTTCAGAGCTGCATTAAATACATTGGTATTTGATAAAACGTTGTTGGTTTTTTGCTAATATTTTCTTATTTTCTTCACAAGTTCACAAATATAATGGGTCTTAATTTTTTTAATCTAGGAAAGTTTTTGTAAAATTGATCTGTAGAATTGTAGATCTCGCAGATTTGAATGTTTTTGTCCTCTGATGCTAATTTTATTGGAAGTCGTTGGTATCGTTAGACATACTTTTTACTATTCCAAATCTGTAAAGGTTACATTATGCCAATCCTTGATACAGCGGTTGCTACCCCTTTGAATGTCCATGAAAAATTGAGGTTAAAATTGGAGCATGTGTCGACCTAACCTGTGTCGGCAGTTACACGCAGTTGTATTGGTTTATGTTACCAAACTGATACCAAAAATGCCACTCCTGAACATATCCGAGGCATTAAGTTATAAAATAAATGTTTATAATCAACATAACTATATATGCCAGTGACAAAATGTGAAGGTCAATCATCGAATATTACAATAATTGGTATAAAACATAACTATGTTTATATATACATGTGATAGCACACATTTTATTTCAAACCTTATAAAATATAACCAATGTACTTTCAGTATATGCACCACGTGATGTTCCAAAAGTAATCATTATTGGATCCAACCTTATCAATTTAGCCTCGGTTTTGTTTCCAAAGTCCAAAATGTCCATATCAAATCCATACCACACCCCATATAGCCGCCTCGTTTTTATTTCCAGAGTCCAAAAGGCTAATCAAATCCATATCACACTATTTATTGCCTCGTTTTCATTTTGAAAGTCTAAAATATCTTTATCAAAACCATGTCACATTTCATCTAGCCTCTTTGTCATTTTGATACTAAATTCTTATAGTAGTTCTGTCAAAATGTCAAATAATGCTGGTATGAAATAAAGAGATCATTAAACATGGTTGAGCACAATACGAATTCTATTTGAATGGTACACAGCTGCAAAACCCATACCAGACACGACTAGCGCTTCCCTCAAAATCGTTTTGACTGCTGTGTACTTCGGTATTGTGCTCAACAATGTATATAATAACCTCATACTATTACACTTTAACTCAGAATAATATAAAATAACTAACCTGTAAATATTATAGATATTAAAGATAATATACATGTATAAACATACAACATAAACTGCATGTGACACAATGTGAAAGGCAATGGGGCATCAAAGAACTCGAACATAGGCTATCTAGCTGAATATTTGATCGGGATTAAGAACATGAAATATACAATAAAATTATTAAGATTGTATCATACAAATGTAGTTTATTATAATACGATAATTGAACATACTATAATTAAATACTACCAAATATTTCTGGTCCTATGGGCACATGCACACATGTTTATATTACGGATGGTTCTACAATACCCTGAGACAAATGTGCCGATCTGGAATATACCTATCAACGGAACAATTTTGCAAATGCACAATCTGTAAATGGGAAAACGCAGTTTTTTAATTAAAAAGAAATTCATTTGATAAGGTATGCCGAAACGAATCCATATTCGATTAATCATAAAAAATACAATGCAGCTATAAAATAAAACTTATGAACGGTCACACTCGGCCTCCGTTTAAATGGACACCGAACACCGTCGATTAGTAGATAAATTGTGTTATCTTGAGTACTGATAGTATACTAGTATGTAACATCCGGACGGACGTTGGAGTCTTGTTATCCACACACAGGTTACTGATATAATTGTTAGCGAAATCGAAAGTGTGGGACAAACGGAAAAAAGTAAGCGTTTTTAAATATATTTATTATTGGTTTATTTTGCTGCAAATTTTAAAAATGATTGAACTCTGCCAAATAATTTGCATTAACAAATCAGTCATTTACATTTGTTTTGTTCTTTAAAGACATGCATGTTTTTTCTCTTTTGCATATACGAATCTATAGTACGGAAGAGCATAAGTGCACGGTGTGAGTAACCCGAAAATTCGACTTATTAACTAGGAATTTCGACTAAGTGTCTCGAAGTTTTGACTTTTTAAACAAGATTTCCACTTACTAACTCGAAATTTCGACATACTAACTCGAAATTTTAACTTACTCGAAATTTCGACTTACTAACCCGAAGTTTCGACTTACTAACACGAAATTTTTACATTATACTAGAATGGCTAAGAAAGTTATGAGTTATCAAGAGTTTAGATAATATAAGATATAGTAGGGAGTGTGATTGTATAATGTAGATGGAGAACCTAGTGCCTGGACAAACTATTAAAGTTAACCTTAAACTTATTAGTGTGGTCAACTTTGACAATCGCATATACACGCTCGACAACAAAAACACAAGGGTTTCTTTAATTTGTAAGTTCAGGCGTTCTTCATGCGCTGTATTGTAACCCACCTGTTCGTCATATCTTTTCACTTATTATATTCTTCACATCTCTGTGAATAAAAAGATCCTATACTGAGAAAAGTACCGCGGAGTCGCCAAAACAGGGCGTGCTGAGGCCTTTGTCAAATTTGTTAGGCTGACTATACCAGAATTTTTTCCGTTTCTTGTAAAATCGGATATATATTGGGATAATATTTTCCCAACAAGTATCAAACAACATGTTCCACTTTTATCATCTTTTATCAACACAATATGAATCAAAGTCTGAGTAAATAAAAGAAAATAGAATATTGACAAACATCTTTTAAAGAATGTTACAAAAAAAAATATTAGTATAAAGAACATGACAGACTAATTGCGTATACACACAACTTAAAACTTAGCAAACACATGAATATTGCACAGTTTACAAAAGGGTGGGTTTTGGACTGTGGACAGTGTGATTTTAATCCCCCACAAAAAAGGAATTAGACAAAATGTAAAGGATATGTTCGGTCTGTGTGATCCTATTGAATTGTTCTGTAAAATACATAGGTGATCTGTCAATGTGCAACAGCTACACATGAAAGAATGTATCTTGAATTAAATCCTTGCACCGGCAAGCAATGTAAGTCGTGCAATGTTAGTCGATATATCGAGATTATAAGTCGAAATTTTGAAATAGTAAGTCGAAATTTCGAGATAAGTAACTCGATATGTAATTGAAAATGTAGGCTTAGCAGGAATATTGCATATTCTAACACTCACGCGATTTTGTCACTAAAGACAAAGAAGGAAAAAAAACTTGTGTTAAACTGCCAATAAACACCTAAACACACCTGTTAGGGACTACTTGTATATTGCGCTTGTTTATGTTTTCACCCTCGATTGTATAGATTACAAAGCATTTTAAAGCAAACAATAAAAAGCATTTTTATTTTATTTTCAGTTCGCTATAATGTTTTCTTTTATACAATACCGAAATAATATCTCACATACACTAACGCCACCTTATAAGAAATCTATATCAGTTAATAAATTATTTTGACAAAACGGCGCCAAATCCGTAAGCAGCGTAATGACGTCATCCTAGGTAACAACTCATTCATGAACAAAACTGACGTTATTTCATACATACAAGAATGATAAATGGGGCACTGATGTAAACACAATACGACGTAAAGTTTTTATTGCTTGAAAAACTTGATAAAATAACGTTTTTTTTCTTATTATTTCTTTTGTTTAATAATTTCTATATCTTCGCAACAGTAGGGGGTGCGGAAAAACTTGAACAAAACATCGTTATTTACGGAAAATCGGCACCGGAAGGTTATTTTCCGCTTGAAAAATAACAACACTAGTGATTTCCTTATTTTTTATCGTGTTAGAATCGAAATAAACATCGGCCTGAGAGGTGTATATTGGCTATTTAACACCGGTTTTGTCAGTTTTGATGCTACAAAATTAACCACTCAGGCCTACGGGGGCCTTCGTGGTCAATTCCTACGCATCAAAACTCCAAACCGGTGTTAAATAGCCGATATACACCTCTCAGGCCGATGTTATTTCTTAAATAACATCGGCCTGAGAGGTGTATATTGGCTATTTTACACCGGTTTTGTCGTTTTGATGCGACAAAATTAACCACTCAGGCCTACGGCCTTCGTGGTCAATTCCTACGCATCAAAACTCCAAACAGGTGTTAAATAGCCGATATACACCTCTCGATGTTATTTCTTAATTACATAGCTGCTATACAACAAACAACCCTCTACCAATTAAATTTTAAAAAAGTAAAGTGCAACGTTTTGCTTAATGTTTGATTCTATAGTTTAATTTCATATTCATTATATCAGATGACAGAAGGAGGTGGATATAACAATTCAGTACATGGCTCCGATGCAGACTTTGAGTACTCGTGCACACCGTGCGGTGAAGAAGGCAACGATGAAAAAGCGTTGAAGTACTGTCCGGAGTGTAAAGAGTATCTCTGTGCAGCGTGTATAAAATGTCATCTTAAATTTTCTGCAACGAAGAAACACACGCTACATGACAAAGAATACAAACATTGTGAGGGAGATTCAGTTGAGACCATATCGGATAAGGAAAACATGTTGAAATGTCCTTACCATTCAGACAGGGATATCGAAATTTATTGTGGTGATCATGACATGGTGTACTGTGCTCTATGTGTTGCTAAGGATCATAGGTAACCAAATACATTGAGTTATAAAAGTAATGCTGTATGTATCTAACCATTTTAAAAATATATGTACAACAATGGCGTCAAATATTTTTATGGACAATATATAATTCATATTTTAAATAATATAAAAAATCCCTTTGTTCTATGCTTCTTCGTGTAATTTGTAAATTGTAATTATTGTTTGTAAAATTAATGCAGATGTATTTTGTTCTTTTCAACTATTGAAGGCAATGCACAGGAATACTAGAACTTAAAGAAGCAGCTAAAAGGATTTCTATCGACAACGAAGACATCATACTGAGTAAAGTCGACTCTTTGCAAGCTGAAATACAGGTAACAAGAGAGAAGAAAAAAGAAAATCTGATTACACTAGATAAGGAAAAGAATGAAATTTTAAAAACCATTACAGACACGGAAAGTTTGATGATTGACAAAGTCAAAGAACTAGCGTTTGGTGCACAAGCAAAAGCTTGCACTACATATAATGGTTTAAAGGAAGAATTGCAAGAAGAATATTCTGTTCTTTTGCAAGCTTTTACTGATACTAATGAATTAAGAAGTAAAGTTAAAACCAAGGTGGACCTAGATGAAAAGCGACAATTTGCAAGACACATTCTGCAAAAACATAGTATGGCCCAACTAGAGAATAAGCACGATAGCGTAGAAAAAGATGAAAAGAAATAAAGGGTTAAGGGAAGAAAATTGATAAATACTTGTCACCTGATTTGTCTTTTCGGGTTTTTGAAGAAAACCAGCTTTAATATCAAGACAAACAAAGTCGAAAAAAGGTACAGAAAGAAAACCAAAAATAAATAGAGACAAACGGCCCTGTAGCATAAAGGGAATCTGCCAATTTTTTGTGGTAAAATTATCTGTGGATCGCCCCAAAAAACAAGTTAAAAAAATTGAATTAAAAACTATAGCATTACAAAAAGAATTAAATAAGTATCTAGTCCATAGGTATTTGTTAACAGGCAAAACTGAGGGGTAGCATTAAATCAAAGATCACAACTTTATTGTTTTGTTTCGATTAAGGGGACCAAAATTTAATGAAAAAACATTTCATAAAAATCCAGGCGTGACACTGTTGGTATTGCTTCCATTTGCAACGAAAATTTTGGTGCTTTACTGGAACTGATAATTAAGTCTATAACCCGGTTGGGAACGGTCATGAAAACCCTTCAATAATGAATCATAATGTTAGGAACAATATTCAACCCTGTTGGGGGAAAAAACTTGGCTCCCAGTTGCAACAGACGGGCGTTTATGTATGTATCAAGATTTTGGGTTAACAAAGTTGCCATGTCCTTAGGACAGGGAAGGCTCAGTATGGTTCGGTTATGAAGTAAACGGTTTTAGGGTTAGTAAGAAAAAGCTTGTACCTTTAAAAGGATTTTATTTGTATGCGGGATACCCCTCGGGGATTTATGTGTTCGATGGAAAAGGAAAAATGCTTGGGAGAATTTGGTGAGGGTTTAGGGAACCAATTCTCTATCTACATAACGGGAACATCACTGCTTTTTGGGACAGAGATTTGAAATATTGACAAATAAAAAATTATGAATTTTTATGGGAAAGATATAAAAGTAATTAAAAAAAAAAATTAAAAATTTTACGTGTTATGCATATACAATTTTGTCAAAGTCCGGGAATACTGGATAAGTTAACCCCAATTCACCCCCAAAAGGAAATACTCTTAAAAGACAACCCGAATTCAACAATAAATAGGGACGCTTTCCCCCCTTGTTCCCCTTACTGAACCAAAAATGAAAACGAGACTGTCCCATTATAATCAAAAAAAAGCTTATTAATTTTTTGTTAAAGTATTACTTTGTAATGTTTTCTATGTATGTGAAGAGAAATAAAAATAAATATTTGAAGAAAAATTAAATGAATTTAAAATGAAAAGTAAAAAGAAAACAATGATTATGATTTATGCAAAGCTAGAGCATTGTTTTCCGACGTTAAAAAGTCAACTTTTCGCCCAGAATCGTTTTCTATTACGATAATAAAAAAAAGGTGTTCTTCTTAACAATTTTGCACAAATCAGTTGTCTACCAAAAAGTGACTTAACTAGAGTAAAGGCATCCGATACTTTCATATATGGTATAGCGGGCAAATAAATACTACTTAAGACATAAGCATAAAATACGCCAAAAAATTACTAAGGACTGAAATTGTTATTATTATACATGTTACATACTTTAAATTCTAGAATAAAACCAAATGAAGTTATTTATTCTAGATATAACACATTTTAGTTTTAAATTCATTATATTTATGTCCCCCCTATATGCATGTTCTGTTGCTGTTGTTTCATTTCAAGGAATTGCTAATAGAAAATAAGATACAAATGATTGCTGTTGGTATATCCTTCATGTATTACCTTCTCAAAAAAAAAAGATACTATTATATAAGTATTTTTATTATCAATTTACATACAAATCTTAGTTATTACTTTTATGACTATGTGTATGCCGGACCTGGGAGGACAATTCTTTACATTTTTAAAAATAACTATATTCAAATTCATGTTATGTTAATAAAAAACATATGATCTTTAGGGGCGATCTTTGGACGCATGCGCCACTCCACTTCAATGATATTTCTAAAATTGGCGATTTCGCAAGAGTTTATCCAGAAACAGTTATCTCCCTGAAACAAAAAACGTATAACATATTAAAAGTCAAATTTACACATTGAACTGTTAAAATTGAATTCAACGACTTGTTTCATTTGTAAACAAATGTAAAAACTGTTCTTGCTGAATTGTGTAATCAATTTTTTCCGTTTTTCAATTTGCGAACAAGTCCATTTAACCCCTACCCTCCCCCCCAAAAAAAAAAAAAAATTTTTTTTATCAGAGTATGAAAAAACCTGTCAGACTTCATGAATTTGCAGGTTGTGGGTTTGGGCGCTTAATACTTTATGGACTGCTCATCATTTTTCGGGTTTCCGGAAGGTCAAAGGTTAAATTTAACAATGTTTTATATTTACATTTTGTTGAAATGAAAAAATTATATTACGGGTAAGAATAAATGGGGGAACTATGTATTCACGATTTTCAAGTAAATTATTATACATAAATATATGAAAAGCGTGTTAAAACAAAATACGTTTATGGAAGCTTTCGATAAAACAAACTGCTGAGGGCGTGGACGGTAACTTGCACATTCTATACCCCCCCATTGAACCAGGCAGGTCAATCAAACCGAGCGCAATATTTTCAATTTTTCGTTTTGAACGTCTTTTCTCTCTTTCTATCTACCTCATTAAGATTATTTTGTTTGAACATCTTTTTGTTATAAAGAATTAACGTAAAAAAAAAAAATAAAAACCCTTCTCGTTGTTCCACTTTATTTGCCCGTACCCAAATATGAATTTTAAAATTAAAAACCATTTTGTTTTTTAAGGGCAAAATTTGGGTTTTGACAAATTCGTAAAGCTCAAAAATCAAATTTTCTCGTAGATAACATTTTTTAAATTTGGGGAGAATTCCCAGTTCTTTTTATTTTACCAGAATAATGGATAGGGTAAACTCTTTTTTAGGAGAAGAAAACATTTTGGGAAAAGTCCGGATTTTTTCACACGTAAAAAAATTTTTTGAATATATGTGAGGGGCTAAAAAATATATTTTTGCAACATAAATTTAAAAGTCAATACTTTAGGATAATGAAATGTCCATCAACCCACCATATATCAAAGCTTTAACCCGTTTCGTTTTAATTGTTAAAATCCTTTTTTTATGCCCAACAATCGTTTTCTGTTTGCTGACGAGCAAAAAGTCTGGATTTATAACCGTAAACCCATTTCCCCTTAAGCATTTCCCTTTTTTATTGAACATCATTATATTGCCTATGTATACCCTGCGAGGAAAAGGTTTTCCTTTGTTTATAAAAACCTCCCCTTACTCGTCGGTCTTTCAAAATTAAAACCCGACCACACTTTTCCCTTTCCTTTTCAATCCCATGATATTGATTTTCACTGGTCAAATAAAAAACTCTTATCAGCGTCAAGGGGTAAAGAAATGGCCTTTGGGTTTTTAATTTTTGGTTCCTTAAAATGTTCATACAAAAAATTTCACGATTTCCCAAGTTTTTTAAAAAAATTTAAATGACGTTACAACTGACACCACAGTTCATTTAAAAGAAAGTGTCCAATATGCTGTAAATTTCAAATTTTTATTGAATTCCTTTTGAATTTATCATTTGGGGAAAACAAAAATATGTTTGGTTTTTTTAAGTTTAACAGCTACTCAAAATTTCCCTCAAGCATTTTCCTAAGGGAGTTGAATTAAATCAATTCCTCTGTGATTTAAATCCTTACTCAGCCTTTTCACTTATCATTAGATTTCAGTACAAGATTTCCATCAAGAAGCTCGCAATTCCTATATGCTGCTTTTTTTTTTCTGTTTTCCCTTTTAATCTATTTTTTTTGTGTTTTCCTTGCTCAAATTTGTTTTTGGTTTTTTTCCCCCTTTATTTTGCAACAATTTAAACAAACAGCAGCGACGTAATTGTATCAATCTCGTTATAAAACTTTTCATTTTCCTTTCATCTTCCTCGACGCCTTCAATTTTTTCCCGTTTGTAAAATAATATCCTTTTGTAAAAAACCCCTGAAAAATGTTGCTTTGATCAACTCTTTTTCGGTTTTAACCCTTTCCCCCTAATTCACTTATCAGTAATTTTTCCAAAAAAATGGACTTTCTCCTAAACCCTTTTCTCAAACATCTATCTAATATATGTCTTTTTTCGCATCTGCGTGGGTCTCTGTTTTGTAAATGATCAAACTTCCGTTTCAATGGTTTTTTAAATTTCATTTTTTCCTGATCAAGGCAATCAAATTATTCTTTCTTTTGTTTCTTTTCCTTAAATCGTTTGCAGTAGCATTTTTCGCAAAATTTCTCTTTTTTTTCTTTACAGGATGTTTTTCAGCTGCTTTTCAAGCTCTAGAATTCCACTACATTGCCCAAAAAATTTAAAGCAAAATTTAAACTTTAATCGAGCTTTTTAATTGATAAAAATGGGTTTATCATATTTTCAGAATGAAAAAACAAAAGAAAAATTTCCGAAACAACTTCATTTTAAAAAGCTATTTAAATTTCTAATAATAGTATGACAAATTTTCATTATTTTGAAAAAGAAAACGCACAAACCCAATGGTGGGGAAACAGATTAAATTACCCGTGGTCCTTGCAATACAAGAGAGCAAAACACCATTTTATAGCATCCTACATCCAATATCCCGTTGGGTGGTGAGCATTTAAAAAATATTCCCTTTTTCTAGTAAATCTACGGAATTTCCCCATATTCTGGGTCCGGGTTTTTGTGCGGGGTTTTTTTCGTTTCGGACACTTTTTTATGATATTTTCCCCACGCTGCAATAATTTCTTTACATTTAGACAATTTTTAAAACTCCACAATGGCCAACTCAGGCTGGGGTAACGTTATCGAAATTTCATTGGGTCCCAGCACTATACTCTGTATGCTCCTTCTGCCATTATTAAATAAAAGGGAAATCATATCAAGTGAAAACACACGAAAAGTCTCGTAAACAAATGTTCAAATGATAAAAAAAAAAAAATTTACTTTTTATGATTTTCTTACATTATTTTACATGTTCCCTTACCATTTTTATATCGAACAGTTTTTGTTTATTTTTGGTAAAATTTGGTTTTTCTGA